AAGTTGAAGGCAGCAGTCCATTTTTTTAGAAGTCACGTGGATCGTCGGTGACCATGGTGAATTTTCTCCACCGTCTCATAATATTGCGCTCTACGTTCAAGCTGAAATTCAATGATAAAATTGGCTCCTCTTGCAATACAAATAATCTATGTAGAAAATACTATTTGATACTTTTTTTTTTTATTTAACACAAATCGCAAATATCGCGTTTCAAGCACATCCACCACGTTAACACCGTTGCGTATCAAAGTATTCATTTATTATAGTTATATGTATAATGGGTAACTTATTTCTCCAAACCAATACCGTTCCAAGTCCATTCTTGATCAACAGTGATGGTCTTTGAAGCGACTTCATCGTTAGGGCTGGCGCTAGTGGCAAGCACGATCTGTGAACGAACATAGGTGAATTAATCAAAATGCCAGACTTATCATTTTTGAACCAGTTACAAAACATACCTCATAATCACCCTGGTCAACCTTCCAATGACCGTTCTGGCCCTGCTCCCAGTAAGAAACTGCTTCTTGATCCAATACTAAAGAAACCGTGGTGGATTCTCCAGCTTGCACTGTCACCTTGACAAAGGCTACCAAGGCTCTCTTTGGCCGTCCAGCAGCATCAGTGGGCTTGACATAGATCTGGATAACATCCTTGCCTACTCGGCTTCCAGTGTTTTGAACACGAACATTAACAGTCACCTTACCGCCTTCAGGAGATAATGCGCCTTCAACGGAGACCAGTTCACGTTCCCAGGTGGTGTAGCTGAGACCGTAACCGAGCCAGAACAGAGGCTCGATTTGCTTCTCCTCGTACCATTTGTGACCAGCAAACAGTCCTTCCTTGTAGTAAACAACATCATGGCCGCGTTCTTCGCTCTCGAAGTGTCCAGGGAAGTTGCCATAGCTTGGGTGATCCTGAATGCTCTTGGGCCAGACGCTGGGGATACGGCCACTGGGACCACCACCCGAACCAAGACCAAGCAAAGCATCAGCGATGGATCTACCGCATTCTTGACCAGGGAACCAGGCTTGAAGAACAGCAGAAACATCGTCAACCCAAGGCATGTAGACAGCCGATCCGGTCAAGTTAACCACCACAGTGTTAGGTTGAGCAGCAGCAACGGCGGCAACCAATTCGTTCTGGAGACGAGGAAGATGGATGTCCTCTCTGTCGTAACCTTCTGATTCGTATTCAGCACCTGTGGCAGTGAAGACAATGGCAACATCAGCGTTCTTGGCCGCTTCAACAGCTTCGTTCCTCTTCTTTTCATCGTCATAGTACTCGTCAAAGCCCATTCTGAAGGCCATGAAGCGTTCAATGGCATCTGCATCGTCAATGATAAAGGTAGTATAGTCCACAACCACCGGAGTTGCCTTTTCTCCTTCGAGCTGGAATTGCTTGTTGCGACGGTTTTGGTCCATGGCAACGAAGTACTCCATGGGATTTTCCTCCGAGCTGTAATTCCAAGTCTCCTCACCAACCTTGATGGTGGCCTTTCCAAATGCTTGCAAACTAAGGGTATGAAGTCCAGTGGACTTGGGGGTCAAGCTATACTTGACGCGTATGGCACAAGGGACCTGGATGCCTTCTGGCAGTGCTGTGCCGGGGTTCCAGGATGGCTTTTCCAATTCAGTGACAAGGAATGGTACGTCGTTTTCTCCGATCTCGCTCACACCGCTGTACCATTCAAACTTGACAGTCTCGTTACCAAGGATTTCGCCAGTAGGGGGAGGAGGAGTGGTGTGGAGCTGACATCCTTCAGTGTAGACGATTTCAACATCATCAGCAGCACTACCCAATTCCTTCAAAACGTCCTTGAATCCATCAAGAGGGGTTGTCTTGTATTGGGCAGTCAAGCTAGAAGGAAAGTTGCATGAGTGACTGGGGTGGGGGCGCATGCACTAGCAAAAATAAAAATTTGGTTCAAGCTTACTTTGCAGAGCCACCGCCAGATTGGATAGCCTCAATAGCGGGATGACCGATGAATGCAAACTTCTTTTGGCCGCCAGCCTTGGTTGGCTCCAATGGCAATAGGTTATCCTTGTTTCTAAGGACCACCATACCTTCTGTGGCGATCTTACGAATGCTGGAGCTGATTTCTTCATTTTGAAGGCCGACCTCGTTCTCATCCTCGGGAGAGGCACAGAAGTCCAAAGGAGGGTCGTTAGTCAACAATCTTTGTTCGACCTTAGACACCAGTTCCAGGACTCTACGGACACGATCATTGACATCTGCTTCAGTCACTTCACCAGCTTTGATGGCTTCATGCACTTGTTCAACAGAACGATGCAGAGTTGGACCAGGCATTTCAAGATCCATACCGGCCTTAATACCTTTAACAGAGTAAGTTCCAAACCTATGCAACAGCGGATCAGACATCATGAAGGCTAATATCCACTTTGTGCTTACAACCACTTACCAGTCACTCATGACGAGACCGTCGAAACCCCATTCTTCTCTCAGAATACCCTTCAACAGTCGCTCATCTTCGGAGCATGAAATGCCATTCAGACGGTTATAAGAAGTCATGATACAGCCAGGTGCATCCAAACCCTTTTGACGAAGGTTGCGAAGCACACGCTGGAAAGGTCGAAGATAGATTTCACGAAGAGGAGCTTCTTCGACTTCGGATGAAACACTGCGTCGATTGGTCTCGCACTAGAATCCCAACAGCAACAAAAAAAAAAAAAAAGGTACACGCTGTCAATGAATTTTCTACTACCCTGAGCTGGATCGATCAATACTAACCTCGTTGGCAACAAAATGCTTAGGGGTAGCTAGCACACCTTGACCTTGGCATCCAGTAATCCATGCTGCACCAATGTCACCAGACAGAATGGGATCTTCAGAGTAACTTTCAAAAGATCTTCCTCCTCTTGGATCGCGTTGAATGTTGATAGTAGGGGCCAAGCTGACATGGGCCTTCTTGCTGCGACTGTCCTGAGCAATACCTTTGCCCATCAATTCGGCCATTTCAACATCCCAAGTGGCACCAACACTGGCAGGAGCCGGGAAAAGAGCAGCTGTGACGACAGAATCGAGGACATCGGCTCCACCACGAGCACCATTAGGACCATCCGTGACTTTAATATAGGGAAGACCCTTCTCAGGGAACTGGAAGGTTCTCCACAGGTCCATGCCTGCAAGGAGTTGGATCTTCTCATCCAGCGTGAGCTTGCCGGCAATGGCTTCGATATCAACAATAGACCGAGTCATGAGTAGTTTTTTTTCAAGTCTGTTGAAAGAGAAGGGTGGACAAATGGGTTTTTGGGCATGTGGAGGTTGTATTTATTGCCCATGGGGTATCTACTCTACTTGTTCCCATTTTAATCGCCGATGAGCTTCTTTAATTGCCCAGCCGACCTTCTCCCACTCACTCCCGCAGAAGTCCCGTTTCTTGGCTGACCCTAATTCACCGGTGGACTGCTTTCTTTTACACTGACTGTCAATCCTTGCCCGAAACCCGTCGCTCTGAGAATATCGGTGATAGGAAACAACGGAAACCTTATAGTGAGTTGGTCCCAATACCGGCCTAGCTTGCGTGTCCCGTTTCAAACTCACCTCTATTACTTTGCCACAGTTTCACGGTTTCCAGCTTCTATTCGATCTACAGAACACTCACGCTATGAACACTACTACTCCCTTTGTCGTTCGCTGGGCCATCATTGGTGCCGGCTGGATTTCTGAACAGTTTGTCCATGTAAGTCTATCCTGACCTTCCCCCCACCTCAGCGTTCCCCTTTTCCATTGACACCATGTTCCTGTTAGGACCTTGCTATGGACCCAAGTACCCGTGACGTCAAGGATGTCGCACACGCTGTGGTGGCAGTTGATTCACGAACAAAGGCAAAGGCCGAAGCCTTCATCAGGGATTATTGTCCGGAAGGAGGGTTTGCCCAGAAGGCTGGATACTGTGACTTACCCGTCGAGGCAGTGGAGGGATATGATGCTGTGTACGCTAGGGAGGATGTTGATTGTGTGTACATTGGTACACCACATAACGACCATTACTTCAGCGCTAAGGCTGCCTTGGAAGCCAAAAAGCACGTTCTCTGTGAGAAGCCTTCTACCATCAATGCTGGTCAAATGAAAGAGTTGGCCGCCCTTGCTCAGGCTAATGGTCTTTTCTTCATGGAAGGTAAAATTTTGGCTGGTGGGGGGATTTTAGCTGGAGTACAAGGGGACTAATGCAATGTGTTCCAGCCGTGTGGACTAGATTTTTCCCGTTGATGTATGCTTTGCAAAAGGATATCCACGAAACAAAGGTGCTTGGCGACATTCATCAAGTGAATGCTGACTTTAGTATCAAGGGTGTTGGACGTGAGTATTGGAGAAAAGATTCTTTACGGGATGGAGAGGGTATAAAGACTTGATGTATATTGACTGGCTTCGACATTGTTTGTTAGGTGTCCCGCTCACTCATCGTCTTTTGAACCCTGACTTGGCTGGCGGTGCCATTCTTGACCTTGGCCCATATCCTTTGACCTGGGTGAGTGCATTTCGGGATTCACAACATGGTATTGAAGGTGGTCACTGACTTTATCCCACCCTAGGGCTTGATGACACTTTTTCATCACCCGGATAACAAGCTTTCTCCCCCCACTGCCGTGAGCAGCAGTATGCAGTTGCATCCAGAGACAGGAGTGGATATTTTCACTACCGTTGTTTTGGATTTCCCCAAAATGACCGCCCGTGCTAACTGTAAGTGTGTCATTTGATAACGTTAGTGCGGATACACTTCGCCTTATGGATGTGACCAGCCTAACATTATATTTTCTTTTTCCGCAGTGACTTGCAACCTCGTCGTGGAATCACCAGCTGATTGTACAGCTCGTATTCAAGGTACAAAGGGAGAAATCATTGTGCCTAGACCAGCACCTCGTCCCGAAAAGTACATCATCCGACTTGATAACGGCGAGGAGACTGTCAAGGAGTTTGCTATTCCAGGAAATGGCTATCACTGGGAAGCTGATGCGGTTGCCCGTTGCCTGCGCGATGGCTTGAAGGAGTGCGAGAGGATGACGGTTTCTGAGTCCATCATGTCCATGGAGGTGAGTGTGCATGAATGCTTCACGTTGCGCCTAAGGCCATATAGTAACACATTGTCATTTCAGCTTATGGATGAGTTCAGAAAGCAAGGTGGATACGAGTTTCCCGCATCCCTAGCACAATAAATGCTGAGCTGGATATGTAACGAACATCTCCTCCCCTCGTATATACTATAAAATGATTGTCAGTAAAAAAAAACGCGTACAGTTCATTTTAAAAACAAAGAAAAAGTGACTAGATGGGTACACAACCAATTTATTGAATATCTGAAAAATGTAGAATCTCTCGTGACGGTGGAGCTAACTTGTCCATAATCTGTCGAAAAATGTCCAAGTCTTGCTTAGCATCCGCTGGGGTTGTTTTCAGCGGCTCTTTGCCAATGATGGCGTTATGCAGCGCTTCGAGTTCTAGCGTATACGGGTCTTTGTAGCTGGGTCGAAGCACCGTTTCCTTGAAGCCACCTTGGCCGTCGTCTTCTTGGATGGTGACCTTGATAGGCAGACCCTTGATGTATGGCGTGTCGTAAGTGATTTGAACCCGCTTTGTGTCTCCAAATATCTCGATACCGGCGTCAAACATCGGCACATTGTCTATGCCGACCTCGTACATGACGTTGAATCCTTGAGGGTATTGAAATAGAGCATGCATAAAATCGCCTGTCGGAGTGCGACCTGCCGCTAGACACTGGAGGGGCGGACCACCGAAAAGCTCCCGCATCAGACTGAGATCGTGTGAACTAAGGCCGGCCAGTAAACGGTACGACTTGACATTGACGGGGTCGCTTGCTCGGTGCTCTCCAAGAGCTTCTTGAGCCATGCGCTTGCCCTGAGCCAACAGATCGCTCACTTTGTCTTCAGGAACATCTTTGACTTTGATTGGGAAAGTGCCCGATTGGTCAACAAAGAACCGGTTGTGGCCAATGATATCTCGGACCCGCGCATAGTGAATTGTCTTCATGCCATGGAGGATATCAGACAACGGTTTCACTGCAAAAGCATATCGTCGCATGTATCCGACCATGATGACCACGCCATTTCGTTTCTCAGCGGCGATAACAGCGTCGGCATCCGACTCAGTGAGGGCCATGGGTTTCTCGATAAAAACATGCTTGCCTGCGTCAGCTGCCTCCACGGCCATGGAAGCGTGATATTCGTCGCTATTAAGGATCATCACAAGGTCCACATCGTCTTGATTGATCAGTTGCCGATGGTCAGTGTATGTTTTTGCAATGTTGAACTTGGCTGCACAGTGAGATAGCGCCGTAGCCGACACATCACATAATGCGGTGACGCGGTAGAGGTGGCTGCAAAGCTGCAGCGTTGGGAGATGGACGGTTTGCGCCACCTCTCCTGTGCCAATGATGCCAACGCGCAGCACAGATGTGGTGACGTTGTTCTTCATTTAGAAGGATAGAAAGTATAGGTCCATGAGAAAAAGGCTCTGCAGGTGAGTACTGATATATAGGGTAACTCTAGCTGCTTTGATTTGTACACTGCTAAACCAACCTTTTTCTCACTAGAGTTGGCTACTAGAGTTTTAAAGAATTTAGTGTTGCGAGATATTCCACCGGGTATTCTATTCAAGGAACTTGCCCATTGTGCCTGACTTCTCCCACAAGCAGATCACACCTCGTGGCCACACGGTCAAACAAAGCGGCCAATTTCGTTCCTGGGGAGCCAGGAAGCCCAGCTCTACACCTCATGAAAGCGAACCCGGGATACGCTCAACACACAGTCGCAATTTCCTTACCACCCTTACTGTCCGTCCAGCAAAGTGACTGAGGTTGTGCAAAGTCTATTTTTTCCCTTTGTTTTACCATGCGTGGCTTCCCAGTCAAGTCGGTGTACCGGTCATTAAAAAATGACCGGTACACCGACTTGCCAATGGTTGACAGCTTCAATTGGGATATCGGATCGGATACCCCACAGATTGTTCCCCACACTTTGCCATAATCACCTTCACAAAGATGGTACAACCATTGTTACGTAAACAACTCACCATTCGGATAGAAAGAAGATGGACAAAGCCGAGTTACCAAGACCGATTCCTAGGCTCAGATTCGGCGTATAAATAATCACTTCAAGAATACGCCGTTCAAGCAGTAAACAAAAAACAACATGGGACGAGGAACAGTGAAACCATTGGTGTTATGGTAAGGGTATGTTAACAAGGGCAGGCAGACAAACTTCCAAGAGTCCGCTTTTCCTTCTGTACCGGCCACGCTGGAATTGAACTGCGACAGTCCAAGGCAAACCCAACAGCAACTCTGTAACACAGTTCCATCCCTTCAACACATACAGATCAATCAACTACTATATTCAAATATATCATGGCATACAAATGAGTACAATATCAAGAATGTTAAATTTTACTTGTACAGATCCAACCCAAACTTCTTTAAACAGGATGGAAATGAGGAACGAGAGGAGGGGAAAGAGTATTACGATGGAGGAGGACACCAACTTGTTTATCTTCTTAATTTGTTTTTTCTTCCTCTTGAGGCCGAGAAAGAATATATAAATATATACATCAAATAGTATGCCAGTTCGAAAACATGGAATCCCAGTATTCGGCGTCTTGAACAAACAAGTCAATAAACGAAGCGGTGGTGTTTGGATTGTGATGGTCTTGGAGGTTAGCAATGGTATTGAGATCCACAAGTTTGATGGGAGCGTATGACACTGGTAAAAGGTCACTTCGGGATACATCCATGGAGCCCATTTCCTGTCCTGGTACAGCCGGCTGTCCATTGGGTATGAGAGAATTGGAAGGGACGGATATGTCATTACTTCGTTGAATGCTGCCTGTTTCCTTCAGTAAGGCAAGCATGGCTTGGAAGAAACGGGCAAGGTAGGCTGACGGTTCATCATCCGAACGCGTCTCCGTCGAGCACACACTGATCACCTCATTAAACACACCCACCACCTCCCGGAGAGTGAGCTCATCAATATGGTCTCGTCGAAGGTTGAGCCACTTTCCTGCATACGCGGCACCCAAGAAAGTCCAATCCTGCGAGGCTCGTAAACAACTCTGCGTGGCCACTCGATCCACAAGCATGCGAAGGATGGTGGTGGCATCGTAGACACAGCTTGCGAACGTCACTTTCTGATCATCCAAAGGCGCGTTTGTTTTCTGTTGGTATTGCCAAACCACTTCGTTGACTTTTAAACTATAGATCTCCAAATGATAACCCGTCTGCGCTGAAGTGCATTCGTCCAGAGGTAATACAGCTGCAGGAAATTGAACAAAAAAAAAAAACGTCAGTCTCTACTATCAAAACAGTACGCGCAGCAAAAACCCACGTCTTGCTTACTCTTTTCATTCATCCATCGATTTCGAAACGATTTCAATCTCGATTGGGCTGCTCGAATAAGAATGTTGACAGTTCCCGGTGTGGTGGAGATGGCCATGACATCCTTCAATAGCTTGATATCTCTTCGTACGCCATCCAATTCCAGCGAACAAGCCAGACGTGCATCTCCGGGAAGAGACCATTCCAGGTGTGAGTTGTACCACACGATAGGGTCTATTCGACATTCTGGCGGTATCATTTCGGGTCTTGTGTGGGGAAAATTAATAGAGTTGTAAAAGACGGCATCGAAACAACACAGCTGCATCCATGTTCGCTGTCGGTTCATAAGTTCTCGGTTGACAATCTCATCACTTGAGTTGGTGGCCTTCATATGCGCTGTATGCACATTCAATTCAAAGGCCATGCGAATGGATCGACCTATCTTGCGCCAATCCGTGGTATCACTTGACTCCTTCCAGAAGGAAAGTATAGACAAGGATTGAACATGATCCAAATTGCACAAATCCTCTACAGCCGCCAAGCACATCAATCGATTACATATATCGCTGCAGGCGGGGAATAGGTCAGGTCGACTGAACTTGGCGGAAACAGCAATGATGCACGAGAACACCAATGGATAGTTCTTCATGGTGTAGGGAATGGTATGAAGGTGAGGGTCAAAGAGAGCAATCATGGTATTGAGCTCTCTAAAGAAGCTGTCCGCGGCAAAGAAGTTAGGCCCATAAATTATTTGTGTCACCCCCCACCCCCACACTGCTTACAATTCAAATAGTCGCCTGGCTTCAGAGTCGACGATCACGCCTTCGGTCAGAGCATTTTCATTATAGCTGGAAGCAACAGCAATGGAACGCTTGGAAAGTGGATTGGGTTTTCCACACCCATCTTCAGTATGCACCGTGGTCCATGATATAGAGCTTGGGTTTAGTTCGGCCTGCAGGGATAACGTACCGCCTGCCACATCCCCGTCATTGGCTTCATATGAGTCGGCTCCAGAGGACCGGTCGTCGTTGGAATGATTGTAGTGGTCTCGTCGTGAAGGAAGGTGTCGAGTGTTGGCACTCTTTGGCTTACGACCTCGAGCATGCGGTCTGAATTCGCATTGGAAATTTAACCGAAGGCATCGGGAGCAGCGAGACTGATTGGCTAGCTTGTCGCACCTGACCTTAATTTGCCTACACTGTAAGCATGCTGTTCGAGCAAAGTCGGTTTCTGTCGCCATTCTGCAAACCAAGGTTGGTTGTGTGGGGATGAATAAGCTATGGCCTCGAAGCCAAGGGAAAAAATTAAAGGAAAAAAAATATTGGCGGGCACCAACCCTTTTAGCTCACCATGGCGCAAAACCTACCCACGCACCACTTTAAAGAACTCTTCTAGACCTTCCTAGTCACAAAGACCACCATGCTCTTGCTCATACATTGCTCCATCCTCATCCTCTCTAGAGCACACGGACTCCATTGCCATGTCCTTCAAGCTATGTTTCCGCTTACAACATGAGTCAGGTGGTGCCTTTACATAAAGAGAGATATGGGATCCTTATATGGAGGCCTCATTCTCACAGGCATGGCCCACTTCCTTTTCATTGAATGCAGTGCTGCTGCAAGTGTTGAGCAACGGCTGACTCACGCAATATGATCATGTGCCTGTTCTTGTGGGCACAGTAAGATAAAGGTGGACATGGCTTAACCGAGATACGGCTCAGAACGTTGCTTGCTCTCCTCCATCGATGTATGGTAAAGCGCCTATACTGCTAAAAAGTGCCTGCCCTGAAATCAAAATTCATAATGACGATCCATAAGTATGAAATGATATGCATGCCAATTTGCTACCGATCCATTGCGATCCTATCATATAAATGGCTACCTTCTCGTTCATATGTCAGATTAGCTATATCAGGGAGACATGTTTGCCTGGATAAATATCCATGGTTTTTATGGTATTGGATTAAAGCACCTTGCGCAAAGTGGTCGTCCTATTTCAAATTGACTTTAATTGACTACAAACTACGTTTCGTCTACCACTGGCCATGTCTATGAAACCACATCCATCTCATCAGTCTTAAAAGTCACGTGGCAGATTATCAGATCCGTCTCGCAGAGTGAGGGTCTCCAGTTGCAAACCTATGGGGAATCAGTCAATTGCTCCAAGCAGCGCTGTCTACAGTTGAAAATGCTACCGCTAGGCAAGAACAGCAAAGAAAACCCTAACGAGGCATATGACGTTGAGGTACACGTTATACAGAATATCGCAAAGGCCATAGAAAATATCCGCGTCGCAACGCCCGTCGTCACACCGTCTAGCCATGCTATAGACATTGTGGAATCCATACGGAATAAGCTACTCCTTTTAGTTCAGACCGATGACCAACCCACTATATCGTCTAAAGGCAAGGAATGCATATGGCTACTACGAAATGGTCGAGACATCGTGTGGTCCAGTGATATTCAAACCACAACGGAAGTCAGCGACCATAAAGCACCTGAGGATGTCCGATACGCAGCAGGCTTACTCGTCGTCTTTGCTGAAACGGACAGCTACACGGATTCCATGGAAGATATTCTCGTCTATACTGCATATAAGGAATGTCGGAACCCCACTCTATTGAAGCTGAATCAAGTTGAGGTAAACTATCTACAGGCATTTGGTAAACGATGGTCGAATCAAATGAAAGAAGCCGCTTTCACCCTCTCAGAAGGCCGACCCTCCATGGCCAACGACGTGTACGAAAAGTTCCTCGCTTTGGGTTCCTACAACGATGTCCTCAGCAAGGTGATTGCTAAAACGCGAACTAGTTTGATCTTGACTAGCTCTGCCAAAATCAGGCTGGGATACTGGGCACACATATATAAAGGCCGAAAGGGGAGTACGTCGACTCCTGTTAAGAGCATTCTTGGAAGAGAATCCAATCTTTTGAAAAGAAAAGAGTTCAGCATAGGCATGACGGACTCTCAAAGAATCAACAGTGGAGTACAGCCTGGAGACGGATGGCGGATATCATTGCTCTTCCTATTAGCAGTCAGCCGACAGTACCCTGACTATATTTCCAAGACTTTGGCCAGGAATACTGGAGGATATTTAGAACGTGGTAGGGGTCACGGAAACCTATGGGCTCCTAGAGTCACGTCAGACCAGCTTGCTGATTGCGGGGTATTCATGAGTAACGCACGAGACGCTGGTTACGGCTTAAGCTTTCATCTAGAATCACTCGTAAGCGCTGCATTATCTGTAAACGATCAGTCTACAATCTTTCAAGATACCATTCGACTATGTCACTTTGTGTCGATTATGTGTGTGGATGGTAGCTGGCATTTGGAAGACTTTCAAATTGTTAGTGAGCCCACTATGGAGCAGTCGTTTGATCATGTAGTTACCAATCATATTATGAATTGAAATTCAGTGTATATAGCGTAAGGTAGAGCAGAAGGTAAATAATATAACATAGTAACTTTATGACGGACGAACGCTGTTCAATGACTTTTTTTCTGAAAATTGTGACAGACATCGTTGTGTCGTGGCCAAAACGTCCCAAAAAAATTATTTTTTGGGAACTGGATTAAACGTGACGAACCGCGACGGACCTCTGCGCGTTTTGATCAGAACATACCCTCACGTATAATGGCGACCATGGACATTGACAGCAGCTCTCCCCTTGCAGGTAACAAGGGCAAAGGAAAGCAATTGATGCCAGGAGACAAAGACAATCTGCCATGGTAAGTTTCTCGCTTGAACGACGTGTAGGCCATGACCTGACCATGCCATTACTGGGTATTCATTAATCGAACGTGGAATGCAGGGTGGAGAAATATCGGCCTGAAAAACTCGAGGATCTCGTTTCGCATGAGGATATCACATCGACGAGTGAGTATAGTCCTTGTTGACCTGTCTCACCATACCGTTTGGTTCATGTTTTTTGACCTCCGGAATCAGTCGAGACCTTCATAGACGCCAATCGCCTTCCACACTTGTTGTTCTACGGTCCACCAGGAACAGGAAAGACGTCCACGATTCTTGCTTGTGCTCGAAAGCTATACGGCCCAAATCATAAATCCATGGTTTTGGAGGTGAGCTCGGTCAGGTTATGCCTTGTCCTTCATAAAGACCTATACTCATCTGCGTTTTGTTTAGCTCAATGCGTCTGATGATCGTGGTATAGACGTGGTGCGAGAGCAAATCAAAAACTTTGCTAGCACCCGTAAAATATTTAGGTGAGTTCCGGGGACTTGGCCCTGGAGGGTTGCTGCATTGGCCGTCCTCTTGTTTCCTTATGCTTACTTCCATCTCCCCAAGTTCTGGCTTCAAATTAATCGTCTTGGATGAAGCTGACTCCATGACATCTGCCGCACAGGCAGCTCTTCGTCGAGGTAAGTCATTCATATTGCTATGCAGCGACCTAGCCGCATACATTGACCCAATGCTCCCAACCCAGTGATCGAAAAGTATACGAAAAACGTTCGGTTTTGTATCATTTGCAATTATGTGAGCAAAATCATTCCCGCCATCCAATCTCGATGCACACGGTTCCGGTTTGCTCCACTTGAGATGGATCAGGTCGAAGCACGATTAGACCACATCATCCAAGAAGAAAAGTAAGCATGGGCTTTAGACGGTATATATCCATATATCATATTTAACGGCGTGTTCTCCTCTAGTGTTAATATCACACAGGATGGCAAGGAAGCTTTGTTGAGGTTGTCGAACGGTGATATGCGTCGTGCGCTGAATATATTACAGGCGTGCCATGCAGCGTTTGATCGTATAGACGATACCGCTATTTATACTTGCACAGGGCATCCGCATCCAAAGGATATTCAACGTATCATGGATACCATGATGAACGATGATTTCACCACAGCCTATTCAAGTGAGTATCCATTCAGTCCCGGCCAGCAAGCGACAAGATGATCTGACCCTTATTTTTTATAGCGGTGGACAAGTTGAAGCGAGAAAACGGCTTGGCTTTGCAAGATATCATATCTGAATTAATTTTTTACTTTGAAATGCTCGAGGTGCCCACCCATGCCACTGTATACCTACTAGCCGCTGTTGCTGACATCGAGTAAGCTCACGTTTATCATGCCTTCTTTTCTGTCCAATCTGCTCACGTGTTCTTCTCCATAGATACCGGTTGTCGTGTGGAGCCACTGAAAAAGTTCAGCTGGGAGCTTTGATTGGCACTTTCAAGATGGCGACGGATATTGCAGCTAGGAATTGAGTGAGAGGGATTCTATAGTTTAGCATCCTTACCAATTCGCTCACGCACCCTGTTTAAACTAGACACCCGTAATAAAAGAAGATTCTGTACAGCCTTGGAGGTAACACCGACTGACCACAAGCTTATCTGTTCCACAGCCTGACCTGACACTCAACGGAGTCAGGGGCAAAGGAGTATAGACATTCTTAATCCAAGGTCGCAACCAAGTTATGCGTAGAGAGATTTTTTTTTATTGCTGATAAAAAAAGATTAATTTAAAAATAAAGCGCGTGGAGATCAACCCCCTTCCTTCCAGCCTAAATGATATGGAAGATCAAGTAATTTGGTAAACCCCACACTTCGTAACCCAATGCCTTGACCATCTTGGCCAAGCCTTCCGTTTCGACCTGGTGTTGAAATGGGAAAGGGGGGAAAATGGCACCATCACGATGAACTTGAGCTTTGACTAGGGTGCAAGTGCCACCCACGCCGTCCAAAGGGATGGTGTGCATTAGATCGGTAATGCCGTCAGGGTAACGGTTATCGATCATGAGTTTGCGACGGGTGAGAACGACATCTTCATAGCCTATTAAGCGAAGCGAGGGTCAGTCCACTGACTGGGATTCTATTAACTCTGACTCCGACATACGTACCTTCCACCAAGACATCGGTGGGCTTAAGGGTAGATTGAAAGGCCCAGCTTTCATTCGTTTCTTGCCAGTTGTTCTTATCGTAGCCACCTTCTTCGTTGTACGAGTGCCACCAGCAATTAGGCACAATGACGTCCTTATCCATACTGGTCAGGTCCTCTATCAAGGTGGCTGGATACTCTATCACATCGCCATCCAGCCAAAGCACCCAGGCAATGTCTTCAGTCAACGCAGAGGCCAAGAGGTAGTTACGGCTTTTGGACATGATTTCACGACGCTTGATCTGGACATCATAGTCATGACGGTCCTCTTCAGATAACACAAAATCGAAATCCTTTTGGAAAATCGATATCCGATTGAACCGTTGCCATGGCTCCTGCTGCTTGCTGACATCTTGTGCATGTTGCTGCAGCTTCTCAATAGTGCCATCCTGGGAATCAGAGACCAGGAATCCAAGGGAGATGAGATGATGGGGGTACGTCAAGCTGTTGACATTCTCAAAGTACCGCTCAATGTGACGTGCCGCCTCTTTGAATGGAGTTAGAATCAAGACATGTTGATTGTAATGGGTATCTTGTGCCGATGCATTCAATTGATTCATATCAAAGTAATTGAAGTTGTTGACAGGTCGTGCTAGAGACCCATCCATAGCTTTGTTAGCTGTGTCAACTTTGCTGTTGGTGTCATGACAAGTGTACCAATTGACTTGCGTAGACGAGGTGGAAACCAGCCATGACACAAGTAAGATGACAGACAGAGCAGCGGCCACCAAGACCGGTCGTGAAGCAGTTATCATATAGATGCAATGAGTAGCTCTGTTATGTTTGAAAGAAGAATGGGAGAAAAATTCAAAATGTACAAGAGGGCAGATGAGGGAAGACAAAAAAATAATAAATTTTTTAGGAGCTGGAGGTATAGAAGTACACCTTCTCCCACAGCGGTTGATAATCACGAATCACTCCAGCGATAATAGAAATTAGGAATCGGTCTTGCGTTGCTACGCAGAACTTTTCAAGTCTTGGCCTAAGGAGAAATACACGTTAAAAAGAATGGAAGATATCACAAACACCCCACATAGACGTTGCATACCTGGTAAATTGTTCATAGAATCGTCCTCTCAACAAATTAAACCACATTTGATGGTATCTTCGGCTGAGTTCTGCCTTTTCCAAGGCTGACATAGTACTCTTGGTCGATCCATAAGGAGAAGTGAACGATCGGCTAACAGCTGCCTGTGAAGCTGACTCCACAGCGAGGGAAATCAGCCAAGGTCGCCATGAGTACCGTCCAAATTTGAAGATGGCAAGAACTGTAAGACAAACAGAGTGAGTTGGCAAAGAACAATTGAGCTGTACAGCTTTCATGGCACTTACCATAGATCAATGGACGCAAGATATACAGCATTTCACCAAGTCTGCCAAGACCATTAAGCATACTGACAGTGTCCTCTGGCTTTCTCAATTTCTCTGGAGTCAGAACTTTAGACATGAGGAAGTCAGTCACATCATTGTATTTCTGATCCAGGGTGAAGCCACTGGCAGCTTGTTTGGCTGCTCCATTTATATCAATCGTGGCCTGCATGAGAGGATGTCTCAAGCCAGTCTTCTTTCCTATCCACGTCTTTGCTTCGGGCTGTTGTGCAGCAGCAGGTGGGTGACCGAGTGTAGCAGGGTCAACATCACGCTGGAGATGATTAGGGCTGAGGAGCATACGGTTGTTGGTCAATTGCAATAAGGTCATTCTCAACGCCGCCCTGTAAAATAAACCATTCAGTATGTTTTGCTTGACATCCGACGAGATTCATTGACAAAACTTACTTGAACAACTCAACACCAAACACTAATCGCCACTGGGCCCGCTTTCCAAGCTTTTTGCTCACAGCCATTTCCAAGACAACTTGTGTGTAGGAGATAAGGGACAAAATTAATGATATTTTCTTGTGCATCGGGGACTTGGAAAACCAGTATGCCTTGTACTTGTTGAAAGGCGACCCGTCTGTCTCTTCCGCGGGCTTTCCCTGAGATAGCGCAGCTTTCCTCAAGATGGAGTCATGGTATAGACCAAGGACATTCAGACCGGCAAATACTAGCAGTGGGAACAAAAGGTTAGGTTTATACAGTCCAACCATCGAGCCAAACAGACGAATACTTACAGGCTTGAGAAGCAAACTCGGCGTCGTGAAATCGACCTAGCAAGGTGTAAGAGAAATGTGGGGTAACGGGTGGGACATTTTGACAACATGGATTCTAAAACATACCAGGTAAGAAATAAGTAATGGACCGCAAAGTACCCTCAATGCTGGTAATTTGCGATGCATTACTTATGAGAAAGTCTTCGTATTTCTTCAGCAGCTCCATACCAAAGAGGTCTGTTCTTGCTGACAATACCGTTTTTAAATCTGAAGGTTGAGCCAGCCAGCCAATCAGCTGCAATTGAATAAAAAGGCCGCCCAATCATACACGTGATAGCCAAATCTCGCTCCCAGACTCCCTACCAACAAAAGTACCAGCGTCTATAGAAGCTTGAAGTCAATTCTAGCCACGGATAAAAGGCCAACTCATAGAAAACGTTGTCAATGCACGCAGTTTGTAATGGATATTTCGTCTAGGGGAGGGAAGGGAGTTCCGTCCACGTGACCCAAGGCATTTAGACAGGGCGAGAAGCTGTCACAAAATTTTCGACCAAAACGTTGCGTCGGCTGTTGTGTTCAGTGATTCTTCCACTTGTCTATACAAAATGTCCATGTTCGGAGGAGGATTCCAAGCGCAGCAATCTGTCAACCCACAAAACATTGCTATGGCCGAGCAAGAGCTCGACATGGTCACTGATCTTTTCAACAGGTAAGTTGAATCTCGGTGCCCCCGCGCAACCAAAGTCCCTTCAACTCAACTCTTCTCTATCCAGAATCGTCGACTCATGCTACTCAAAGTGCATTTCAACAGAGTACCAGCAGAATGACTTGTCACAGGGAGAATCCGTCTGCATCGACCGATGTGTCGCTAAATTCTTCGACGTTAATGCCAAGGTTGGAGAGAAGATGCAACAAATGGGCGGTGGTCAACCACCACAGTAAATAGACGAGAAGCAACTCTACTAAACAATTTATAACGGCCCACCCTGAGCAAGGACTACATAGACCCTTCTTGCTTGAATAAACCAAAATGTCACTACAACGCAAACCCAATTTTATATTGTGTCGCGGGAGAAAAAAACCATAGGTGGCTGTCGCTTCATTTTTATGTGAAAATCCCGAATGGTGTGTGTGTACACGATTTTGAAAGAAAAAAAAAAAAGATAATAAGCAGAATGGTAAGTATTAAAAAGAGGAAATAACAGAAAAATAGGAGGTGCATCAAAGTTGACAGCTTTCAAAGAGACCTTATTCATCGAGTGCTCATGGCGAACAAAACACTGGTCAACACAACGGTGTGAACAAACCCTTGTGCAAGTTTGATGGTGCACAGATTTCGAGGACGGTTCTCCCAGACAAACGAACGATACACTTCAGGAGTGACGTAGCCGAGCCATAAGAATAATCCCAGCTGCCAACAATGGTTCCAAGAATTGACTCGAGTCAAATTAACCAACGTCGACGTCATGTATGTCTAAGAGACCCACAGTTCAGCACTTATTTTATCCTCTGCAACCCACACCAACCCAGCCTACCTGAATAAAGCCAAATGCTAGCTCCAGCAGCAAAAAGACACCTTGATTACGTTTGAACTCGGATTGATCTACCCAGTTGGGAGACTTCTTGTCTTGCGCCATAGCGGAAGACCAGTATTTTCCAGGGATTCCAGCATGGGTGGCTATGGATGTTGCGTGAATCAAAAATGTTCCGACGACTGCATAAAGGAGGTTTAATGATAAGCGCCTGTGGCAAGAAGTGAGCGTGGTAGATTGCACTTACTTAGAGAATATGGATTAGCCACTGGAAAGTGGATGGGAAATTGCAGGTGAGCAAGAGGAGACATGAAGAAAGAGGAGAAGAGGAAGTAAAGCAAAGTAAAGCAAAGCAATGAGATCATTTGGGATGGGATGGCCAACGCAGCCCATAAGAGTCACATGATTTCATTTGGTTTGGGCTGACTTTGGAAAACAGGCTGTGCCAAAAGGATGACCCCGAGTATTTATTTTAAAAAGAGGTCGTTTTTCTATAATCGCTTTCTTTCCTCTCTTCTATTTCTTCAATGTCAGTGTTTGAACACGACGATTATTACGCTCCACCGAGATCTCGGCCACCTCCTCCTCCTGCTCACACTAGCGACTATGATTCATACCCACTTCGAGACGTCCCATCTGCCCCTTCTGTTGAAAAATCATTTGCTCCTCCATACCAAAGTAGAGTGTCCCTGGCCGACGATAACTCCTATGGTGGATGGAGAGGTCCTAGAGATTCCATGTCGGATTTGAAGCTGACAGCCCATCCCGGGTATGACTCGGACGAAGAGGATTTTGGACAAATTCCACGAGAAAGGAAGAAGCGGACATGTTTGGATTTGATGTGCTGCGGATGTTGTACTTGCTGTCCACTGTGGGCACGATGGATGTCGTGTGGTTGTTTGATCATCCTTATCGCCTTGGGTATTACCATTGGAGTGCTGGTAGGCACCTTCCATATGCCACAGGTACGGTTTGGTGGGTTGTTATTTTAGCCTCTGTTTTGAAACAACCGGCTAATATATCGGGCTTTGATTTAGATTTCATTCAACGGTATTGAAAACGAGTCGTTCACCTCCTCGGCAACAGCGTTCAATATTTCGGCAAACTTGATGATAGGCATCGATAACCCCAACTTTGAGGCACCTACCTTTAGTTCTATCAAAGCAACTGTAAGTGTTCATAAATATGGGGCTGGATAGACATATATAAATAGATGCTATTTATATAGGCCAGCCAAGCTATTTTATTTCACGGTCACTTACCTCCCCCGACCTTTTTTTTCTTCGTAGGCCTATTACCCTAATATCGCAAAGTCGGTTGGAGGAGGAGAGTTGAACGATGTTCATATCAACGGCAAGGGAATCACCAATATCACCTTCCCATTCACCATTATTTATGATTCAACACAAGGCACAGATTCTTCCATGTTGTTAGATATTGCTACCAAATGTGGTCTGACAGGTGGAGCAAAGCAAGACATTACCATCACCTATGACCTCGCATTGACGCTCAAGGTCGGCGTGATTCCCATCACCATCACTCTACCGGAGAAGACCAGTTTCCCTTGTCCCTTGGATGTAAGTTGTTGGTTGGCATGGATATGAGAAAGGACCCTGATCTAACTTGTTCATTTTACAGAGCTCTGCATTAGCCAATCTTACCCTACCTGGTGGTTTGACTGGAAGTTTACCTAGCAGTGCTTAATACATGCATGCAAAAAAAAGAAAAAATCTCTCTGTATACCAAATATCGGATTTTCCTTGCACACATCATTTCATACCTTCAAGCTTGTGTATAGTATTTCAGCTTGCCAACTACAAGCCTTATTGCATTATCCCGTTCACGTTTTCACAGGAAATCCATATATAGTGTTGTTGTACATGTCTCTACAGAGTAATCTAGTTGAACACCTTGTAATAAATATACGAATCAGGAAGGACCAAGACGATGCATTTTATTCAATGGGAGCGTTTTGTTCGGGTTTAAATGGCCGCTCGGGAAACAGTAGGCGGTCATATGCGCCGGTCCATGACGAACCAACAAAGAAGCCTTGAAACGTCTTATGGCTAGATACCCAAACACCAATATTCTACAAAAACTTATAGTATCATTTTTTCAGTCCATTGACTCGTTAGTTATTGATTTATCTTGTTACCAGTATCTCAGTGATCGACGGACTGTGCGCCCTGCTGACGTAGACTTACGCTTCCCTTTGAGCTTAAAACCAAAGCGGCGTTTGCATTTGACAAGAGATATAAGGTCGGGGCATAATTTTGTCGTCTTTCATTATTTTTTCACTCCAGGATTTTCCAAAAGTCTGCTCCACTATGACTGAACAAATGCGTGCTTGGACCTTCTCGAAGCGCGGCCGGCCTCAAGACGTTTTGACTCTCGGATCCGTAGCCAAGCCAACCATCACGTCTCCTGACCAAGTTCTGATTAAAGTCGCTTGCACGTCCCTCTTTTCGTCCTACAAAGCCATCATGGCTTTACTGCCTGTCTCGGCTAGTCAAAAAAGAATCCCCGAAGCCGAGTTTTCCGGAGAAATCGTCGAGTATGGCGAGAATGTGCGAGAAGAGCTCAAAGTGCCTGGTGTTGCCGTCTTTGGATTGACTATACCCATGGAACCCAAGACAGAGTTGCTCCGCTTCATGCGCAACCCTAACGGCACTCTCACAGAGTACATTGTTATCAGGCAAAATCTGATCGTTCCTAAACCAGCTAATATGTCTTTTGAGGAAGCTTCCGGTATGGCTGGCATGGGCGCTACAGCCCTTCAGTTCGTCGATGCAGCCAAGTTGAATGCGGGAGACTATGTGCTTGTCAACGGTGGAAGTGGAGCGGTTGGAATGCTGCTTCTTCAGCTGTTGAAGAAGGTGGTGGGACCGGAAGGCAAAGTCGTGGCAACCTGCTCGGGATCAAAGAAAGATGTCGTCTTGCAGTATGCTGACGAAGCCATTGATTACCGTGCCCATGCGCCAGTACACACCTATCTCGCCCAAGAGTACGGCACCCGCAAGTTCGACGCTATCATTGACGCAGCCAGTACCCAAGAGCTATACGACCATTCACCGGAATACCTAAATGAAGGCAAACTTTTCCTAGACATGTCCGCCAAGCACCCTGTTGATCGAGGCTGGCAGTACAGTGATCTCCTCCCCCTCATAGCCAACCAAATCAAAAATAACTTTTGGCCAGCCTTCCTGGGTGGCGTTCCACGAAAATATATGTTCATCAGCGGCACGCCCGACCTAAAGACCCTCCAGAAAATTCGCGAGCTCATAGAGGATGGCACCTTCAAAGGCACCGTCGACTCTATTTGGGGCATGGATGAGGTCATACAGGTAAGAGATAGCCATGGTGAATAAGCATCCGTCACTCGATGAGACATGTAACACTTTCCAATTTGCAGGCTTATGATAGATTCACTGGCCCTGATGCGCGAGGACGAGTGGTAGTGGATGTCCGACGGGATAAATTTCATTCATAAGGCAGCAACTAGGGGTGTGCGGCCTGGTATATGCATACATCTTTGAGCCAATGTGCCACTTACTCGACGGATACCATTTTACATTCACCTCATGATGGATTGCTTTAAAGGAACAGTATCGTGCCAAACACAGTCCTTTAATAAACCGGAGCATCTGATTTCCTTATACCATACCGATGAAATTGATTGCTTCTTATATTTTGCTGCCGGGGCATGACACTATTTACAAATGCTTATATTTTGAATGCTTCCTATAAATTAAAATTTTGAAAAGAATCTCGAAGCTGGCTTATACATTCATTTAATACAAGCTCACTACTTGGGTCGGCCTCCACGCCAGGCATTCTTTTTCGTTTTCGATCCAGAAGAGGACACAGTGGCAAGCAGAAGCAGCCGCTTGTTTTCATTTTGAGCTGCAACCAAGCTTTGCCGTAACCTTTGGACTTCCTGTTTAGCGTACTTGAGGCTGTTCTGGAGCTGTTCCAATTCGTCCTGGATCATCTTGGCCGCAGGGTACGCTAGGTCTCGCAGGGGGATGCGTTTGAGCACCATGATGTTCTGCGCAAGTTCAGCCTCCTGTCTTGCCCGCACTTCCCACTGAATTGCCTCCGACACCTCAGCAGCATAATGCACGAATTCAGGGAAATACTGATGGTTCCGGCGACTGACCATCCAATACAATTCAACCTCAGCAATACTATGGGCCCAGTCCTAAATACGCATAGATCAGTACGGTACGGCTGCATGCATTGTGGACAGAATACCAAGACAGTACCTTCAGCCATCGCTGGCGGCCTTCTGAATCAACTTTCGAGACAATATTGCTCATAAGAGCAATCAGGACGTTGAGGACAATAATGGCGGTAAATATCAGAAAGAGGATACGCAGTCCATCGGTGGACGGAACCCCATCCCATTGGTTGTAGGCATCGCCATCACTGGCTAGTAGGTAGTAGGTGTATTTGAGCGAAGAGAAGATGGAGTTGAAATTAGACGTGTTGTTGTGGCTGATCAAGTACATCTGGTCTCCCCAGCTATCCTCTTGGAACGGCTGGCCAAGCACCACAACCATGGCATGCGAGAAGGCAATCAAGATAAGCTGTAGCATAAGGAAGAAAGGCGTAATGTGGCGACCGATTTCAATGATTGTAGCCACCATAATACCTGCAGTGGCGCACGGTAGGAACGAGGGTCAGCGGTGTTGGATATTGAATGAAGGTATGGAGCTACTGTTCTTACCATAGTTTTTGAATACGCGTAGTTGCAATATAATTTTCAGCCATAATATCTAATAGAAACGCGCAAGAGTGAAAACACCAATATCAGTATAGAAGGCATGCACAGGGATGGAAACGAAGTATGTGTATAAGCGTTTGATTACATTAAAGTACTTACCAAAACAGAGTATGCACCAATGGACCTCAAGTAATAGTCATCCACATCATGCAGGACCAAAATAGAGTGCACAACCGGCATCAGAAAGGCGCCTGATGATAGGGTGAGTCTTTTGTGTTTTACGTAATGTCCATTTGTGATCACTTACCTATATCAATATAATTGTATGGCGACCAAAAGTACTGCTCATGCTCACTGATCATTTGTCGAACTTCTTGGAGAAAGAAGAGGATACCAAGGAAACAAACAACGGCCAGCCATGATTTCTGCTGGGCTGGATCCCGCGTCAACGATATGGCAAAGATGATAAGGTACAAAATGTACGAAGCTGTAATAGCAATATATCTTGTCCTTTTTGGACACGTCGATGTTAAAAGGTGCGTTTGTGGAGCTGGTCGGGTCGATCATGCTAATAAACCGGTGGTGCTATTCTTACCTTGCAAAGGTTTTCCATTTACTGCAAACACCGAGGAGAAATGCAGTTAAGATGAGTATAAACAGGTAGAAGGAACGTAAATATAATGTTGAAGGACAGTGGCTAAAATACTTACTAAACCAACAGCGGTTCAATGGCTGGAGCTTCGAACATACAATCATACTCGTTTCTATGTATGAGCAGAAGTTTAATAAGATAGCATAATACCTTTGGTCCAGAAAAACAGTGTAGCGTCAACTTACATGGCAATTTCAGCAAAGATGCTACGGTGAGGCATGAACAGTGTCCGTATCCAAGACTCCTCTATCTCTGGATATGTTGATATACCAGGAAGCGGCAGAACGCATTGGAACACTGAAAGGGCAAGTTAAAGTCAGCGTGAACATTCCACCCCTCGTGTTGTGCAAACTGGATCCCTTCCTTACCTCTCTCTTCAACGCTTGCTTTGAGCCAGCTCTGAAGTTTCAAAAGCAGAGCTGGTATTCGAAAGTAGCCAGATTGCGCTATTTTCATTATAGTGGTTGGTCCTAGTTCCCTTTCACACTTTTGAAACTCTTGCCACGCTGCTAGGTGATACGTGGGTCTCTTCCCTCCTGCTCTCAAATAGATCAGATTCATGTTCTGATATGGAGACTGGATGGCCTATAGTGTTAAGTATCTGGTATCATTTCACCCTTCGCTGATTTCATGACTTACCGTTTTGTGCAGGATGGGAACAAAGGAAATGGCGGCCATGAAGTTGCGGACGAGATCAGGTTGGTTGCGGACAAGGTACTCCCCCTGCGACGGTGTCACCAGATGATTGACAATGGTTCCAATGGATCGAACACTGTGCAGCGCCGGCTCAAAATGGCCAATACCGCTGTAGGCATCTCGATGGTAGGGACCTATTCTAGCAACTTGAGACTCTACCATTTCAATGGCTCTTGCTGACTTGTTCGATTTACTTCCAGCGTTATAAAAAGCAAGAAACTCCTCTACAAGGTCGAAGAGACGATTTAGTACACTGCTTTGCGAACCATAACCACAGGCACTCATCCGCCATCATGCTCACCTTGATCTACTATTCTGTCTACATGCTGGGGTTGTGCAGAGAGGATTTCATTTACCGGCCATCCACTTAATATATGTTTTGTGTAGTCTAGGCAAGATGTTAGTGAGCATTTTCAACTCCAGTTGCTGACTGATAGCGCTCCATATAGTATGTTACTTCACACTTACCATCGTAATACTCTTTTCCATTGTACTCGGCAGCTTGCATGGACGTTATGCGAGTGATGTTGAAGCAGCGAGCAACTAGATCCGATACACACCGTTGGTGATCAGGAAATTGACTGAGCTCAGGGACGACCAATGACGCTAACAACCCTATCCAATGCTTATTTCGCTCCGTCATCAGCGGCAGGCGCAGGAAAAAATTCCTGGTAGTGAAGGAGGTCGGCACTGTGCATGTAATGTGCAGTAGCGGTGGTAGCCCTGGCGCCATTAGCATGTGGACATCAGCAATGGAATATGCATTGTCTATGGGCGGCTTCCAAGCAAAAAAGCAAGATACTAATCCATCCTGGTCGATTTCTCTTCCAAGAAGAAAGCGGTCAAAGACCGTGATACATGTGGAGGTCATGCCGGGCAGAAAGAAGCAACAGCGCACATCATCACATTCGCCAATCACATGGGCTATATGGTTTACCGTCGTGTCGTCCACCAAGCATACTTGAGTACCGTTTGATACTAGGCGATAGCCTTTTGGCGATCCTGAGGAAGCCGCCGCCGAAAGCTAAAGAGGGGGAGAGGGGGATGTATGAGAAACGATCCATGGAATATGGGCTAGACCGCTAAAGCACCTCTTACCGAGAGATTGGACATGAGCCACTGGCACCTTGGGGCAGCTACAAACTTGTCGGGTGATGTAGGCCAGAAGTTGACCGCCGACGGCGTAAGCAGCATACTTTCCATTTTGATGTCCATGGAGATATGGAACAGCGTCCAAGCGCCATGGATCTTTGAAAAAGCTAATTCCTGGGCCACTCTTATGGACGGTGTTTCCAACTTTTCTTTGCCGTTGCCAGATTCTTCAACCTTATTGTCGTGGGCGGGAAATTCGTTCAGATCATCACAAAACAGGTGTCCTATCAGGTTGGCTTGGATGGCCACATTATCATAGTGAGGCAGGCCGTGCTAAGAAGGAGGAGCATGAATGAAGTGTAGAATGTGATAAACGGCAGGAAAATGCGACACGTACCCTCACTTTCCTCAGTGCTTTTCTAGCAATGTAACTGGCCGTTTCAAATGGATACTCTGCGTCGTAATCAAAGACTCCCGTGTCGCTTTTCGTGCAAAAAATATCACCCACTCCGTACCCATCTGGACATCGAACAATCTCTATATTACCAGCTGAGAGAACGTAGTTAACTTAGCCAGTGCTTCCAAGTAACATTTTTTTGGCAACACCTTGGCGACCTTACCGGTGCTACTGAACATAAAGTATTTTCCATTGGTGCGTCGAAGCAAGTCCAATACCAGGTCAGAAGGCAGCTGACAGCCTTTTCTAGGAGCCCTTAAACTCCAAGCCAACTTCCATTCGGGCCCTGTCATGCATTTCACGCCATTGTCGTTGACAACGTAATAGCTGTCGGGGTTATGCAAGAACACACCATAGCCGTCCAAAGTAATGACATGCTGACCATTGCTACTTAGCAAGACAGAAAACGGTTGGCGTTCCAAGGCTTCTTTGGATCCAAGCACGGGATCGACATCAGTGAGGTAGGCAGTGTAGGAAAGAGCGACGCATCGATGCTGAATAGACCACGAGACGTTCTTCAAGCGGACCTTTTTGGCGGTCAAGTCCACGGTTTGATCAAATATCTGCTGCCAGCCGACCATGACTTCTCCATTTTTTTTAGTCTTGACCGATTCGTACACGCATAGAAACACCCGCCCTGGATTGACTTTGCTGAGACAGGCAATGCTGATGATATCCTCTTGTGATTCAAGACACGTTGCCTCGATCCGTTCCGAGAACTGTACACTTAGGCCAGCTAGTGACTGTTCGGGCTGTAGATCAAGTGTGCCATTTAATCCAGGTACAAAGTACTTTGAAACCACAGTTGACGACAAATCGAACGATGACCCATTGGCAATATGAAAGGACCTTGATTTGTTGGTATCCATGAGGCCAAAGCCTAGTTTCCTCAATATGCCGCGGATTTGCTTATTGATGCTGTTCTCGATCTCATCCGCCCACTCCCAATGTAACTGTTCCTGCAACCACGTGGTCCATTCGGTCCTCGTCCGAGTATCGCTTATAATATCCTGCGCGCAGCAGCATAATAATCGATCAAGGTGGTCGAGAATATCCAGCAGGATGTCCATATCGTAGGTGGAGAAGGCTCTGTAGGCAGCAAAGAGCATGTGCGTCCCGCTGTAGACGTTTTTGGGAAAATAGTCACCAGATGATATCCACGCGCCTAGAATTAATTGCGCTTCGAAGCATCCGTCTTTGGCTTGCAGATACATATCCTTGGCCGAAGGATAGTTGTATAAACTATACTCGTCAACCATGCCTACCAGCAGCTGCATGAAGCTGATGCCTGACGCTGTGATGCTTCCCGACGTCAGAACACTAGGTGGTGGTTGGGATGGATTGGGAACAGGTGGTACATTGATTTCTTGCGAATTCTCAGATATCAACTTTATGAGACGGTCTCGAAGCGTTGTTTCTTGGAAATAGACATCGTTGACTACTTTGGCCAGTCGATGGATGGAGATGGGTGGTAAGGCCTGTGGTCTGGTACTTGCGAATTCCATCAGACCATCAGCAGCTTGCTGCCATTGTTGAAAATACACATGTTCCTCAATCATCGCAAAGCGCTTTTGCACTTCTGTCCACAAAACCTTGTCCATACTGCTGTCATTTGTTCCTGAGCTGCTCGACCTCGTCTCGCCTTCCGTTGGCAAACGAAGATTCATATTCAAAACTGTGTCCGTTCGATTGTACACCGTTGGGACAGCGGGATTATGATTCATGATGGCGTTCAAATGAGGAAGAAAGAAGAGTGGGGTGTTCATTCTTATAGCATGGCTTACTGCAAGTGATGCTCATCATACGGCCATGAGCTGCACGTGAACAGGTGATGGGGGTTAGCACTTTCGACGTACCGGTGATCTCCAACATGTCATAAGGTAGTGGGTTATATATGCGTCTACATAAGGGAATACGGGTTTATTACAAATGGCATGTTTCTCTATAGCAACTTGGCTAGTAAATCTAGATTGGATGGGGCTCTGCATTACTCCGGTTTACCAGAAGAATACTCTACAACGGCATATTTGCCTCCACAGCGCCATTCCAAAGGAGTGGCTGTTTGTTCGATCTTTTCCTGCACACCTTCTTTCAATCCACAAATGACATCGGCCTTGTTGGTACGCAAGCTGCAGATGGAGGTGAAATGTTCGCTAAGGTCTTCACCCAAGGCGGTGTTGAAAGGCGTAGTCACGGGCCACTTGCAGTCATAGGTGAGCTTTCTAAAGTTCAAGTCACCCTTGAAGAACACCAATTGGGAGTTGTTGGCCAAATCGGCAAACAGCTCGGGGGCTTCCTCTCGAAGATGTCGGTAGGCAAGACCACTGCACCAAAATGGATGAGACGTGATGACCCATTGGCCATTCTTGATATAGTCTTGCCAGCGAGAGGCAAGGGCTTGCAAAGCGGCAACATCGTCTTGACTAGGCGAGCAAGAGGCGAAAAACTCGGGGTTGAAGCAACTCTCCAACAAATTGGAAAAGTCGTCCTCAATGACATCGGACACGAACCAGGGAATGGTTTTGCAGTGGAAGACAATCTTCTCTGCCTTCTTTGTCTGGACCAACCAGTCAGCAAGTACAAGATCGACGAACAACTCAAAGCCTAAAGGTTTACGTCAGGTTAGGTCCTTCACCTCATGGGACAGCAGCAGCCTTTGTACTCACCAGCATTATCCAGAACAAAATCCACACGAGCATTCTTAAGACCCTTGACATGGTTCCAGACCTTATCAATATCATTGACCACAATGTTCTTCTCTTGCTCTTCGAGCTTTTCCTTGCCAGTGGCTTGAAGATTACGAATGTCCTCTTGGCTCATGTTGGTGAGCAAGCTGAGATCGTGAGCATTACCCCAGAGACAAACCTGCATGAGCTCATGGAACAAGATCTGGTTTTGTTCCTCAGTCTGAGCATCAAGAAGCTTGGAGAACTTTTGAGCAAGTTCGAACACGGCACCAAACGAACCCTTGAACGTGGCGTTCTTTTGTGACAAGAAGGGATCATAATCCTTCCAGGTTGTGGAAAGGTTGTACAGTTCTCTCAATCGTCGGTACATCAAACACTCATTGTAAAGCCAGCTACCATCGAACCAAGTGCTGTTGGGAAAGTACGTAGCGATCTGTTGGTTCCAGACCGCAACGTCCGGCTGGCCATCCTCCTTGAGTGGTCTAAACAGAGAGCAAAAACGTAAGGCTTTCATCCCTTGTCGAAGACCCCCCTCCCCACCTACTTACCTGATTTGACGGTCGTGCTCGATTTCATACTTGAGAGTGGAAACACCTTCCACGATAGCCTTGCCTTCCTTGACCTTGGTATCATCTGTCTCTTTGGCATAGGCTTTGCACATATCATCAATGACACTTGTCAAAATGACGGGCCAACGTCTAGCGGTGGTATCCCATGCAAAGCTTCCCTTCTCGCTGGCTCTGTAGGCAGGACAAGGAGGGTTGTTTGGAGTGACAGGCATGGTTATTTCAACAGGGAAGAATAATGAAGTTTAGATTATGGCAGGGTGAAGTATTTAATGCCAGTCACTCACGTCATTCCATTGGCGGCGATTCAAAAAAGGTTGATTAGAGAGTGGTTGCCAGGCACAAAGGTAAGAAGCACTATCGATAACCGCTATTTACTTTAAAGCGTATAGCTCGTCTTCTATGGAACAAAAGATAAAGCGTCATATTTTTTATTCTATCAAAGCACTATAATATTTTACACTGTAAATCCGACAGATTCTCGGATCTTTTGAACCAACGCACGCTTCATAAATTGCTCCTTGCTTAGTGCTCTCGTGAGCTATAGAGAAAATCCAAGGTTAGCGCGCATTGATATTATATTGTAGCTAGCGATAAGAATCCTACCTTCATAAACGTGGCCAAGTCAATCACCTCACTGTTCAACGCTCGACTAAGGTAGTAGATAGTATCGACGATAGCATTGTCTTCCGCAACCAGGTCGAAGAGCCTGCAGCCCAAGATAGATACGTTAGTGCACAATTTAGGTTCCTGTTCCGCTGCGTTACTTACTGATTATAAACAACCGTAGTTCCGCATAGAGATTCGTCCACTTCAATATCAGGTATAGTATTTAAGTCTTCTACCGCCTTTTCCAATTCCTGGTTCTTCTGTTTGACAACCTCAATGTTGTTTTGTAACCGTTGCTTGACATCTACTAACACTTGATGTTCGTAAGCAATTTGATGTTCTCCAATGTTGAGTTGCTTGTTGGCCTCTAGTAATCGATCCATATCGACTGAGACGGTCATTTTGAATTCTTTCATTCTATCCACTAGCTTTCGATACACTTGCTGTTGCAGTGGAGTCAGGTCCCCCGGACTGGGTGCTTGCCCCGCGGGCGGTTGACCAGGCGAAGGTCGGGTGGGTGGAGAAGCTGCATTTTGATAATTTGTTTGCGATACTCCCAGGTTCTACCGAAAAAAAGCGGGATGAATGGCTTGTGGTTTCCATCGTCGCGCTAGGATGGTTACTTACCGAAAAGACCTGGCTAAGATTGTAGAAGGCAGTGCCATCGACGGTATTCTTGACGGGGGATGGATAAGATAATGAGGCTGGAGAAGATATCTTGTTACTTGCTGGGCTATTTGTGGTGGGCATTCGAGCATTGGTGATGGGAGGTGTGCTATTAGGTGAAGGGGTGGAGGTGTTTGGAGGTTTTGTATAAACTGGAGGTTCTTTTCCAAACACTTGTTGGAAGATAGCAATAAGTTCAGCGAGATTATGGCTCTAGACACCAAGGGGAATGAATCAATATGTGAGTGGCAAAAGAATTCTCGATCTAAAATCCTTACCACAACATCCTCTTTCCAAGTTGAAAGATATGAATGGTAGCAAAAGCCGCTAACATCCACGTTTATGCCAGGTCGTACAAGCATGTTGGAGGTAGGTCTGACGTAGAAGATAGGTGGACTCATTGGGTATTCGATAGGGATCCATATGGCGACTGGTATATTATATGGAGAAGCTCGGTAGGTGATGGGTGTGGTTCCGTACAAACAGAGCAGTAGTTGCGTATCACCGTGGTCATAGGCTATAACAGTTTGATCACTCCACATTAGTTGCATTCTGAACTGTAGTTAAAACGAAATGGCAAAGCTACTTACTATAAGTGTCCATCTTGGGCTTTAAAGACCCGTACATTTGCAAAGCGGTATCGACATCTCTAAAAGTTCTTTGTGGATCGCGGTACTATAATAGGTGTATATTTGTGTTAAAAAACAGGTGTGACAGGTGAACTATGTGCATTGCTTGGCACAAGCCCTCGGTTTACCCACCTGCTGTAGCGAAGTGAGGAGATAGTTACGAACATCCATGACTGAGAGTTCAAGCTCCGCCCGATCCTACAACTTAGGTCATCCTGGTTGACGCACGTGACTCATCGTGCTCGGTACCTCTCCACAAAGGATGCCCTGTACACATTCAACTGCAGCAAATAAAATGCAAAGTGGTTCTCTTTATGCTGTTAAATTTTATCATTGAATGAATTCAAAATTTCATTCAATGCAATCTTACTATGAATACCTACTTATATCCTGTCGTCTCACTTTTACTGTAATTCAAATGCACGCATGGCAAAGTTGCAAAGTCTTTCACTGCCAACAAAAAATATTGATAAAGAATTGAAAACAGCTTTTCTGCAACGAGAATGTGTAAGAACCATGGTAGCAGTTCTGATGATTGTCTTGGTTAGAAACTAGCCACATATGGGGGGTCTCGTCGATCTCACTTCAATGAGACTACTATGCACCATTAAATGTACTCGACATAAGATATTTTCAGGTAAGCAGAGCTGGTTCGCATCCAGATTTGATTGATGGGGTTTTCCTCTTTTTCTTACAATCAGTGATGGCGCAATAGGTCACAAGTAATTGGCTTGTAATATGCTCAATCGTCGGTTCCATCGTCGGCTTAATCGTCGGCTTTATCGATTTACAAACAATGTCGCGTGGGTTATGTCCGATCGATGCCTTTCAGTAAGTTTTTTTTCAACATGATATGAGCACATAATATTTGTTTGAGTACCGGCGAAGAGTACCGTTGATGATATGGTAACGCAGGCTCCTATGCCCACATCATTGAAACAGCTCATTGAGATATGCAGCTTTTAAAAAATATGCGGTTTGCCCAAAAATTTAACATATACAATAAAACTCTGGTATTATGCTCCAGCCGAACCGACTATAAACTTTCTGTTATGTGGACTTGCCCATATATTTTCATAAAGTTATTTATTTTAAAATGTATCTAATGTACTAAAATTGATTAAGCTTGGTGCCATCATCCTATTATCTCTATTCACAATTTGTAGATGACCCCACCTACGCAAAGATATCATAATGCTCTCTGTGTAAAACATGGGGGTATATTTTTCAAAAATCTTACTACTGGCACTATGAAGGAAAATAAACATGTGGTTCTCGACAAGGGCTGCCATGGCCAGTCATCGTACATCTTGATGATTTTTCAATCGGTCTTCATGACGACGCTGGAAGTGCAGGATGTTCATATTGTGTTAGCATTGTAAATCAGTCAAAAGGACTTTTTTGAGCATTTTTTGCAATAAAGAAACGAACATGTTTCTTTATTAACACTTCCTTTGACTCAAAGATCACCGGTGGTGTATAAAGAGAAAACAATGAAAAGGATCCTACTGCACGAATTGCAACTCCACATCATAATGATTCTCTATGAACGACACCGTAGGAAGCGGATAACTTTTTCGGTTTAAAGACGCAACAGGATCAGAAAGAGCGACATAACAGTGCATTCAACACCGAGAGATTTTTTTTTTTTAAACAAACTGCATACGATCGACGAAATATAATAACATTGGCAGCATTGATCGACATGGACATTTAAAATATAGCCAGCTTGTCGACTTCTTTATCCTACTGCGATCCATGGCTTTCGGGCAGAAATTACCCCCAAATCTTAAGTTTGACAGTGTTCAAATTGTTAAGATGCGTGGTAACATAATTAATTAGCTGTGGCTGCAAAAGATAGGAACGAGCCGTTCAACCCCGGAGCTTCAACTCACATTACAAAGTTCTATCCAATCATGGCCGTTCCTTCCCTTTTCTTGACAAATTGGGTCATGAGTTACAACATCGGAGTGATATGTCGTGGAGTTGCATAAAGTGACAGGCCGAGTGGCATGAAGGAAAGTAAATGAAAGCGATTTTTAGGTCTACCGGGAGAGGAGATTTTTGGGATGTCCACGGGAAAGCGCAATGTCCCAGGTTGCTTCCATGCGGCTTTCTTCCGTAGACGGTAGATTGTAACCAAAGCAAACTGATAGAAAAGCTTCGGTTGTCGGAATGTCAAATGGGAACGTTGAAGCAATTTGACTGGTTGCAGGATTTGTCAGAGACAGTCCTGGGACAAAACCGCTGTTTTCGGGACTTTAGAAGTTCCACTTCAAATTGAGTAAGATATCAGCTTATTCGCCTGCTTTACTAACCTGCCCCCCGCTGGCCTCTCTAATGCTTCTAATATACTTACCGTTATGGCCATACTAGCGATCTATTCAGGGTATCGGGTTCATGCAGATCCATTGCCAATACATCGAAACGTCCAGTGTATTGACCTTCTGTAGGGTCATTGAAAGGTAGTATGTGCTATGACGAATGGTGGGTTCATGGAATATGAGCTCGATGATGGGACTTGGTAGCTTTTGGTGCATGTTGCTTGCTGGTCTGAGGGTAGCATATACCCAAATGTTTACCTTTTTAGGGAAACATTTCAACTCTCAGCCTATCTTCCCACCTCATCTCTCAGCAATCAATATTAGCCTATGGAATTGTATGTTTGACTAAAACTGAGCGGCTGGCCTTGTTCATTGAAAAATCCATATAAAGCCCCCCACCTTTTGTCTGAACCCATTGCTATATTCCAAGAACCTCCCACCTTTTTTTCTCGATTACCACACTTCAAATATGACCTGTTGTAAATCCTCAAGTACAGTCGCCGCTCCTCATCCATTGGACCCGCTGTCAACAGAAGAAGTCATTCAGACTGCTGCCTTGGTTCGCCAGGACAAGGGTGAAGAAGACTTCATCTTCAACACCATCACTCTTCGTGAACCCTCCAAGGAGATCATGATGGCCTACTTCGGTTGGGACAAGTCCAGCCCAAAGCCCGCCGCCGTTGAGAGAGAGGCCTTTGTCATCATCATCGAGCGTCCGTCCGGTAACGTTGTTGAGGCCATTGTCTCTCTGACCGATAACAAGGTGAAGACCTGGTTGAAGCTGAAGGATGTTCAGCCTACGCTTACCATGGATGAGATGAACGAAGTAGAAGCCATGATCGTCAAGCATCCTTTGGTTGCTGCCGAGTGTGCTGAATTGGGCATCACTGATATGTCCATGGTGTATTGCGATCCCTGGGCTATTGGCAAGCATTTGTCCATTGGAGGAGAACGTCGTATTATGCAAGCATTCATGTATTACCGTCTCTCTGAAGAGGATAACCAGTATGCCCATCCCCTCGATTTCATTCCCATTGTTGGTGAGTATTGGACAGTGAATTGTAGCCAAGGATGATCTTTCATACTGATGTCTCTTTCCACTTTTCAGACGTTGTGAAAAACGAAATCATTGAGATTGAACGTATTGCTCCCCGTGACTCCAAATTTAAGCGCCCGACCATTCCTATGGAGCCACACAATTTCTATCCCGAGTTCGTCAGCGATAAATACCGTAAGGACGTCAAGCCTATCATTGTGCAACAACCCGAAGGTGTTTCTTTCAAGGTCGACGGAAATGAAATTGACTGGCAAAAGTGGAACCTTCGCATCTCCTTCAACTACCGTGAAGGTCTTGTTCTCCACAACGTCAGCTACCAGGATGGTGATGAGAAGCGACCCTTGTTCTACCGTATGTCTCTTTCTGAGATGGTCGTTCCTTACGCTGATCCCCACGCTCCTCATTTCCGCAAGCACGCTTTCGATGTGGGTGAATACGGTCTTGGTTTGTGCACCAACTCTTTGGCTCTTGGTTGTGATTGTCTCGGTACTATCCATTACTTTGATGCTACCTTCAACGACCACAGCGGTAGACCTTTTGTTGTCCCCAACGCTGTATGCCTTCACGAAGAAGACCACGGTCTCTTGTACAAGCACACTGAGTACCGCACTGGTCGTGCCCACACTGTCCGTGGCCGTCGTCTTGTCATTTCCCATATTGTGACCGGTAAGTGAATGTGGCTCCAAAATTTGAAAGGGGAAAAATTGACTAGACACTAATTGAATTTTCTTTCATTTTAGTTGCCAATTACGATTATGCATGCTACTGGCACTTGTACCAAGACGGTACCATCAACTACGAAATCAAGGCTACCGGTGAAGTCAACACACACGTTCTCGCTGAGGACGAGACTCCCGGTCCTTTTGGTATCATGGTTGCTCCCCAAATCAACGCTCAGCACCATCAACATTTCTTCACCATGCGTATTGACCCCATGATTGACGGACCCAACAACACCATTGCCCAAGTGGATACCCAGCCCGTTGACGAGCCTGTTGGTCACCCATTAAACTTATACGGCAATGGTTTCTACCCCAAGACCACCATCTTGAAGGATACCATTGAAGGCCAAGCTATGGCCAATGTTGCCACTGCTCGTTTCTGGAAGATCATCAACGAGAACAAGAAGAACCCTTACTCCAAGGATCCCGTTGGTTTCAAGATTGTTTCTCACAGCAACACTCCCCTCATGGCCAAGCCTGGATCTGTGGTTGAGACTAGAGCTGGATTTGCCTCCAAGACCTTGTGGGTCACTCCTTACCAGGAAGATCAACTCTTTGCTGGTGGTTTTTACTGCAACCAGTCCAACGGTGAAGACAGTTTGCCACAGTGGACCAAGGAGAGAAAGCCAATTGTTGACACGGATGTTGTTATGTGGTTCACTTTCGGTGTGACTCATTTGGTCCGAGTAGAGGATTTCCCTATCATGCCTGTCGAGATCTGTGGATTCACCATGAAGCCATACAACTTCTTCACCTGCAACCCCGCCATTGATGTTCCTCCCACCAACAAGAGCATTAACAAGAGTGTACACGCTTTCGAAAAGAAGGAGGAAGATGCTTGCTGTAACGAGATCGTCACTGCTGCTGCTTAAGGAGAAGGCGCCGGGAGCCCTTTGCTTAATACGCTTGTTTAATATTACCACCAAACCCAAGATTCCGTTGACCCTAGGTCTTCATTGTAATTTTCTTGCATTATAGTACAAGTTTTTATAAAAACCAGACATTTCTTCAGTCATATTGTGATGAGATTTAGGTGATAAGATCATGCCTGTGGTTCATTTTTGATCTTTGGGAAATTTTTTCAAAAACCGTGGTCGGCCAACCTTCGGAAATATTCTCTTCGTCCAAAGTGAGATATAAGTTGTAAGGATAATCATGGGGACCGACGCAATATTTCCGCAGTACCTCTTTTTCTTTCGAGGAAGGCAAGCTTAGTACTTCACAATGGTCAAGTCGATCTTTCTAGCAGCTGCGTCAGCGTTTATCACGCATCATCTTGTTTCTGCACAAGAAGGTGCCTTTCTCCCTTCAGCCGGCTCCAACCTCAATTATGCTTCCTATTCCTGTGATCCATCTACGTGTATTGCACCAGCATGCTATTGCGCTACCAAAGACCCTCCTGCTGGTCTCTCGCCTAGCAGTGTCCCTCAAATGGTTTCCGTCACCTTTGACGATTCCATTCAACCACAACTCCTGGAAACAGCATACAAGATGCTGAACGTGAAGTAAGCAGGGAGTTTGTTTTACAGAAAAGAGTCTCCCACATCCAATTAACCTCGATACTGCCATGTAGAAATCCAAATGGATGCAAAGCAAAAGGAACCTGGTAAGTTTCACGGCCCTGCATATCAGCTTCAGGATAGTCGGGGTGAGTTCTTACAGGTACATTAGGTATGTGTCCCTCCAATACAACGATTATGCATCAACACAGCAGTGGTATGCAGCAGGCAACGAAGTGGCAGAGTATGTTTCATGATTATATGAATCTAAGGCGACAGCACTACTGATCCATTCAACCCCATGTGTTCTATCCTGCAGTCACACCTTCTCTCACGTCGGCTCGCCTTCTGAGCGTAAGTATGCACGCTACGTTGTTTAAAAAAATTCAATCCGCAGCTAGCTATCACCAGTTCATAATACCCTTTTCCATCACTAGAGGAAATTGTCAGTTGTCAGAGAGCTTTGAATGCGTATGCAGGCATACCATATGGAAAAATCCAAGGTTTCCGAGCTCCATTTCGTAAGTACAAATTAGCAGGGTGGTCAAATAGAATGGTATCCACTGACCTCGGTTTTCAAAAGTCAATTACACCACAAACACTTTAAAAATAATCAAGGACCATGGCTTTACCTACGATTCCAGCGTCAGCTCCGCAGGAGGAAAGAATTTTTACCCTTACACCCTGGATAACGGTCTGGCCAACGACTGCTGGAAAGGGGTTTGCGATTCGTCATTGAAGTTGCCCGGTCTGTTTGAGATACCAATGTACTCTGTCACGGACGGCTCAGGCACAGAACGTTTGATGGATGTGTATTTGGACGGGAAACCTAGTGACGCTAAAGCCTGTACGTATGAGCGGATAGGAAATACCAGTCGGCGCATACATTAACGATGTTGTTGAACAGGGACGCTAAAGACATTTGAGAGTCACTATAATGGCAACAGACAGCCATTTGGCATCTACGTTCATCCTGGTAAGACTCAGCTGAACGAAACAGTATATCTATGCGATATAGACCACTTATTCATCGCCTCCTCATGTCAGCTCACTTAACCACGCAGGCAGGCGGACCAGATGCCAGCGACAAGCTCAGTGCCATCGTGTCGGCCATTCAAGAGATGGCAGCGAAAAAAGATGTGTGGTTTGTTACCAACCTGCAGCTTGTGGAATGGATGAAAAAGCCGGTGCCTGCTTCGGAAATGGCTCAGCAGCCCTACATGCACTGCGAGCAACCAGATATCAAGCAAGAGATCTGCAATGGCTTAGATGAAACAGGCGGAACTACAGCGGACAATGGTTTGATTAACTCGTAAGTGATGGCTAGTCACAACAAAGACATGGACATCGGCTAACCGCCTTACTGTTTTCCCGTTAAAAAAAAAAAAAAGGTGCAATTTCGGTACGACATTCTTCAAAACCTGCTTCAACTGTCCTTCGCAAGTTCCTACCGTAGCCAACCCTGTTCCTCCTCCCTCCATCGCCAAGGGCCAGTCTGGTTACAGAGAGATGTTGCCGGACAACTGCGAGTAAGTTGAACGGTAATACCAAACGCCTATACGATATATGACTAACCACTACAACAGCTCAAAGTGGTGGGACCCCATTGCTGCCACCTGTCTGTGTAGTTCTTCCCACTGCGAGTATAAAGACACAGCCGTGATGGTGGACAATATGAACGGTGGAGCTGATTCGTCGTCAGGCTCCAGATCAAAGAACTCAATCATAGTGGGTAAGCCCCAATCGTCAGACACCGTGAAAGCCGACGCAAAGATAGAAGTTGGCTTGATGGTATTGATGATATTATATGGATGGATGTAGTTCAATGGTACATAAACAATTGCACACATGTTATGGTATGATAATGCACGCTAAAGCATTTAAGTGAAAGGTTAAGGAAATGTAATATACAGTAGGCTGGGATTATGTGGGGGGGGAAATAATGTAATGTGTAAACGCTTCTGCCGGCCCTAGTTTGCAATATAGTATAAATCTGCATTGCTTTGATGTTGACACAAAATACCTTGGTCGACAAGCTTTTGGAGCTCCAGCCCAACTCGTTGATCAATGTCTTGTTGTTGTATGTCCATGCTCCTCCTTCCAGCACTGGCTGTCACCACCGAAACCGCATGCTCCCTTGACAACTCGCCTCTTTCGTTGGGTATCCTCTGCAGAGAGTCGATGACCATTTCCGAAACCTCTGCATTGACACGCTCAATCTTGTTCTTTTGATTCTCCTGCTGCAGAAACTTGGACCACACAGAGTCGTACGCACTAGGCTGGCTGGCCGATGCCTTGCCCGTTGCTTTACCTTGTGAAGATGAATCAGCCTGTTGTTCTTCGGGATCGCTACTTGCAATGTCTGCGTTCTATGGTCATCGTTTTTACAATAGTTAGTTGTGTTCATCACCATGATCATGCGACAAAAACCTATTACCCACCTTGATAGACTTTCCCTTTGCTTTCTTTCCAGTTGACTCTGTTTCTGTCGCCTGCTGATCTCGTTTAATGCCTTTGCGTTTGGCGCCTTTTGTAGGTTTGAACGGCTGATCCATGGGCAGAGAGCCAGCCGACGTAAAGCCACCAAAGCTTTGACTTTCCGGTGGTCCATGAGAATTGTACGATGGCTTGCTTTCCCGCTTCGTTGGGTATGTGTAAGGTGTTTCTTGATTGACATGAGGCTGAGTAGGATAGTCATAGGGCGATTCATTCTGGCTTTGTGACATGATATCCCTTTGACTACTACTCCCGTCTGTAGCATTCAATGGTAGCTCCTGGTTCAAACCAGTCATGCCTGCTGTATTCGCGTTATATTGAACACCAGACGTTGACGATGCAGGGCGTTTCGGGCCCAACTTGAGCGATTTTTTGGATGCTGGGTTGGCGCCAAACGTGGATTGCTTTCTCCCTTCATACACTGCAGCTTTGTTAAACGGTGCTGTAGCTTGCTTGTCGGGTCGAGGTGGAGCATAAAACGAAGTGGATTGGTATCCGCGGTCGTAGGTGCGATACCTATCACGAATATTATCAAAGGTGCTATTTTCATAGCCTTGCCAGTCATCGTATTCTTCGCCTTCATCGGAAGGATAGCGTTGGACTTCATATGAAGCGTTGGTAATGTTAGATGCTGCACCTTCGCTTTCTAGTACACATGTTTCTTCTGGCAAAGGACGATTCAGCAAGTGAGCCAGCCACTCTCTCGTACTTGCATCCAACATCGGAAACTTGCGTTGATAGAGGCTTTCAGGAAGATCAGCCAGGAAGTGAGTGGTGGTGCATTCAAGCCATTGTTGCTGCCCTATTCCAAACGTCAATCACAGTGTACTTTTCCTTTCACCCAACCATCATAGTACTTACAGGGATTGTGTCTCTGATACACTTCACTTATGTATAAGAAAGCTTCCGCTCGGGTCATTCCAACGTATAACAAGCGGCTTCGAAGAAGAATAAGATCAGCAACCGCCCTCCATTTCTTTGACAAGACATCATTCACTCACCATTCCTCCTGGATCTCTTTCTCAGTTGTGCAGAGTGCAAAAGGGATGACACCTTCCTCACAGCCTGTAGCGAAAACGCATGGCCACTCCAGTCCTACCAATTTCATCGCTTATTAGTGAATATGACAATTGTATGCTTCGTTTTAAGTGACATTTACCCTTTGCCGAGTGGTACGTCGATAGGGTCACGAGCTAATAAAAGAAACACGATATGAGCTATTACTGTATTGTATTGTATGCTGCAGAGACTGCCTGTCATACATACCTGTTTTTTAGCACCTTCTTCTTCTTCATCGTTCGTGTTTTCCAAGTCCAACAAAGTTGAGTCTAGAAATCTGACCAGAGAATCGTCCTGAGTCTTGATGTGAAAATAAAGGGAAAGAGGTTATTCACCGGCGGCACATCTTCTTCAACATATCCTGCATTCAAATCAGTCAACTAACATTGTTTCCAGACAAAGTAGCCTGCTGCGTCCTCGTTTCGCTCGGATTCGCTTGACTGGTATCGTCGTCTTGACCCGCCGAGGTTGTATTAAACCGTTGGGCAAAATCCAGCAATTCCTCCACGTTAGACCAATGAGTTTTGAACACTTCTTTACCATCTTTATCATATTTGTTGTGCAAGTGCCTCTCGATGTTGGACTCTTTGATCACTGTTTCAACAATGATACCGACAGAAGTCTAATGATGGGTAACATGTTAGAATAGGCAACGGCCCAGGTATACAATCACTATGCTTACTTTCCATACTGAGAAAGACGTACCTGAGATTCGGCCAATGCTTGGAAGGAACTCATCATCTCTAAAAAGCTCCTCATTTCAACCACGGTCGGCTGGGGTAGAGATCGGTTCGCCGCACTGCCTCCACTTGAGTTCGCTATTTCAGCCAAAGCCTCTAACATAGACAGGCTCTTTTGTTCTGCCAAAGTCCTAACTCGCTTGACAGTAACATCACCTATGCCACGCTTGGGAACATTAACAATACGGGTAAACGCTTCAGAGTCGTGGGGATTGGCTGTCAGTCGAAGGTAGGCTACTACATCCTTGACTTCCGCACGATCAAAAAACCTCAATCCTCCACGCTGGGAATACCAAATAAATTAGAATCTACGGCACTGCATGTCAATCCAGGCGGCGCGGACTCCTACCATTCGATAAGGAATTTTCGCTTTGTTCAGTGCTGTTTCATAGGTTCGGGAGTGAGAGTTGATGCGGATGAGAATGCAAAAGTCTTCATGGTTGAGTATGCCATTGGAGTACTTTTCCAATCTCACTATCTCATCGACAATGGCATTCGCTTCCATATCAGGTTCTGGGAGCGTTAACCAGGATATTGGAACACCAGGACAATTGTTCGTGAATAGTGACTTGGGCAACCGGTCCTTATCTGAAAGCGAGCCAAGTCAATCGTCTAATATCACCGTTTGCTCTATCTACTCGCACTTTACCGTGTTGTATGACCATGCTAGCCGCGTCCAAGATATGGGTTGTGCTTCGGTAGTTTTCTTCAAGATTGACGACAACAACGTTGTCATAATCTGTCTGCATCTTTCGAAAATTGCTGATGTCTGCATTTCTAAAGCCGTATATACTCTGGTCAGGGTCTCCAACAATGGTAAGACCTTTGTCGCCCTGAGTCAGCAGCTTAATCAAATTATACTGTACAAAGTTTGTGTCCTGATACTGCATCCAACAGTGTTAATTTTCATCGACGATGACTTGTCGCACCACTCATTCAATAGCAGAACATTCTACCTCATCAACCAGGATGTATCTATACGGCCGAGCAATAAAAGGATGCTTTTCAAGGAGATGGCAGCCTTCCATCAAAAGGTCGTCAAAATCCTAAAAAGGTGCCAATCCTTGAGTACAGGGATATCGGCCTAGCATCCTGGAATAATTCTCTCTCACCAATGCATTGCATTTTTGCAATTCCTTTTGATATGCCCTTTGGAAATGGAAACATTACAACCATCATCCACTTTTGTTTTGGCAAAGAGTCGAAGGGTGCTATACCTATATACGATAGAGATCTTGCGCTTCTCTGATCCATGCTTTTTCATGTCGTTGCTATACTCCACATCGTACATGTCACAGGTCAGTGCTTGACACTTTGCTTTAGAGATGGCATGTCTATAAGTTGCTATGAGTGGTATTAGATCACGGCTAAAGGCTACAAGGGTATGTGCTAGATTTTACCTGGCTTGCCAAAAATCTGCAGTTCTTTGGGTAATTCCTTCAACACGGTTTCGAGGATTTTGCCACTATGGTAATAATGCTTAATTGGGAGGTATTGTCAACGTTTCCGACCAATCCCCCACTTACGACGCAGTAGTATCAGCAATAGTAAAGTTCTGCCGGATACCAATCTTTTGGCCGTACCGTCGAAGCAATGAAGAGCATGAAGCGTGGAAAGTCCCCATCATTAGCCGCGTGCTGTCTGATCCCAGTAGATCGTTGGATTGCAACCGATTGCGCATCTCATTGGCAGCCTTATTCGTAAATGTCACAACGAGAATAGTGTCGGGATCCACATTGCGTTCCTTGACCAGCCATGCCACCCTAGTGGTCAAGACTTTAAACGTTGGTGAGCCCGCATGTTACTTTTTTTTTTATTGGGTCGATCAACCAACGACATACCTCTTGACTTTCCTGATCCCGGTCCAGCCAGAATCTGGAGAACCTTGGCATCGCTTGTTGTGGCCTGGTATTGCGCCGAATTCATTTTGTCCAAGACATGCTCCAGCATGCTTAACGATGGTAGTGTCTGAACAAAAGAGCTGAGCAGACAATGCAGCTTACCCAAAACGGTTCATTGTAGGAAGTTGAACGTTTTCCCCAATTTTTTAAGCCATTCAGTGAGCAACCGCGACGAACCATGTCTGCTTTTTTGCAAGACTTTTCTAAATAGTGTACAGCGGCCAAGCATCTCTAGCCATCACTGCCCTCATTTTGGATATCTTAAGCTAGCCCTGACTTGTCTATCTTCTATCAAGCATAGCTTACGCGTCGCGTTTCTGAATCTGATACTTCATAATTGTTAGAAAGAATGCTTTCAATGCAACCGGTCTTTCAAAGAGAAGTTAGTACAGTGTATGTTCCCAATAATGCTTGCTTGGCCCTATATTTACTTCTTGTTGAGAAAATTAGCAATAAGCAGATATATCAATCACAAGTAGCGTATGCATGCTTGCTATACTCTGTTGTAACTTCAACTCCAGAGCTTGTACGCAAATATTACAAGGAAGAATATCACGAAGAGTAAAAGTATAATTCATCATTTTTTGTAGCAATACTAATTTTTAATACGACTACTTATAGTGAACTGCATTGTGAACGCGTCTAACGCGTCTGAGCAAGAAGTGGATATGCTCTTTGCAAAGGTAAAAGCCGAAAGTTCCAGTACAGTAGATACTTTCGATGAAGGTATCTGCCTACGATGATTGGGGGTTATACCTCTAGAGCAGATTCCCAATGGTTTGTGGGCACGGTAAACGTGTCCGCCAAATTCCACCAGTTTCAGTTAAGGGCCTATGAACTCGGTAAAGAAAGAAGTCTCAACTACGAAGAGCATGTGGAGGAGTTGCTGTGAGTAAGAAAGGATTGTCGCAATAGAAAAGACAGCTGGTGACTAACTATGACTGTAGATCGCAGACTCATATCATGCTGTTGAAGCCGGATCAAAGATGCAAACTTGCCCTGGCGATAAGAGACTTGTGGAGAACAGGAACATCTTGCTACCACCTCCAGCATAGCAACTGGATTATCACTTTCTATTAATTGCTGATGCTCTTAGATCTGGCCTTTTCAACATCAAGCCAGAAGGGTAATGCAGCCAATGATTTGATGGGAAAACAGAATGCAGCATGCTCGGGGCAACATCAAGGCAACTACTAGATTGGATGCAGCACGCTTGACATATGCAGTTATCCTTAAATTTGGTGGTATACAGACTGGAAATATACTACATGAAGAAAGATGGGATAATACTGTCGATGCGCCACAACTTTGAGGTTAGATTGTCAATGAATAGATGAGAAGTATTAACTAACTCTTTTCCGTAGATTTTGCAGCAGTATTCCAATGTATATCTAGCCATGTTCAAGAAGAATCTGGAAGCACAAAGGAGCAATCACTTAAAGCATCCGGAAAAGCACTCACCGAACAGAATGATAAGTACGATCTTAAAAAAATCAGCAATCAAAATCGACTGCAAGCGTACCAGCGAGCCTTTTCTCCTTACAAAAAGTCGCAGCTTCTCACTGTATTGCAAGGGCTTTGTTAGCTCTTTTCACTTCAATTCATATCAGTCTATAATTTCAGAGCACGTATGGAGTGCTATGTTGGCAATGTGGGAAGCAAATAAATCGTGATGTCAATCTGGTAATCCAAGTTTGTCTTCATTTTTATTTACGGTATTTGCAAGCTGGAACCATAGCAAAGCAGAGGCAGGAAGCTTATTCGCTCATGCTGTCCAATTCATCTTGCGAAGCTTCATCATCGATCCTTTCTTCATAGAAAAGTGCTGATACTATGGCATTTAGCTCGATAACAAGTTTGGGATGGGAGGATTTGAATTGGGTGAACGTGGTACCAAGGCTTTTACTTTCTCGTGTCCGTTTGCTAAGTTTCTTTGGAGGAAGCTCGTCGGAGAAAATAGGAGACGACTCCACACCATAAGATTTTTCTACTTCTAAAGGGAGCAGATTGATGATTTCGGACTGCTGACCCCAAGGGATGCCATCACTATACTTGCACAGAGTAATTTTGCGAAGGACAGAGGAGAGCAGGTCTCTTAGATCGTCCTCCTGATAGTTGCGATACTTCTCCACCCTTGCTGTCAGCCTTGCTTGTTTTCTTGCTACCAGGAGTTGACCATTGTTCGAATTGTACCACTTGAGACTTCTGGTTGCGGGAGTAATCTGTTGTAAAGATTATATACTTAAAATTGTTGTGTTTGGGTTTGACTTTTGACGTTTTCCACAATGCTCGAATAGTCTCGCTTATACGCTAAGTATATAAGCCTTGTTCTGCTATTGAATGAGTTTATTGAGTGTGCAAAAGTCCTCGTCCATCTATTCTCATCAATGTCTATTTATACGAAGTTCGAAAGCCACGGGACTTTCGAGCCCTTTTACAAATTTCGGTTGTAAATTTGACATTGAAAAGAATGTGACCGGTTCACAAGCATCAGCTCCAACGACCAACACTTTTTTCCTTGGCCTTGCGACCAGGCGGATACTTGTGGAGTTCGACCACAGGATGCATTTTTCGGGCATGTGATAGCATTCCACTACGAGTTGTATATTTTTTGGAGCAGCCTTCTATTGGGCAAATCGCTGTTGAATGCATTTATGCGAAGAAAATATGCTCGCCTCAAAATTTGCGATCATTCAATTTCATTTAACTACGTGATGGCTACGTGTCTAATAATAATAACCTGTTTGATATGTCATGCAAAGTCGCATATATAATGCACGCAAAAGTGAAATCCTGTTAATACATGCCTTTATCACTCTGTTACAAACACAATCATGCCAAAGACACCAGCTTCCGTCTGTATTACAGAAACAGAAAATTACTCTGGCATGATATTCGTATGCCAGTGGTGTGAAAAGAAGTATACAGTCAGATCTTTATTGATCCGTCATTTGGGCAGCCATAGTGAGATATCGTGTTCTGACTCATCATATTCACCTCGGATTCTGATACTTTATAAATGTTAGACAAGATGCTTTCAATGCAACCGGTCTTTCGAAGACAAGTCAGTACAATGTATGTTCCCAATACGCAATGATGCTTGCTTGGCCCTATATTTACTTCTTGTTGAGAAAATTAGCGATGATCAAATATGTCAATCACAAGTAGCGTATGCATGCTTGCTATGCTCTGTTGTAACTTCAACTCCAGAGCTTGTACGCAAACATTACAAGGAAGAAAATCACGATGAGTGTAAGCATAATTCATCATTTTTTGTAGCAATACTAAATTTTTAATACGACTACCTATAGTGAACTGCATAGTGAACGCGTCTGAGCAAGAAATGGATGTGCTCTTTGCAAAGGTAAAAGCCAAAAGTTCCAGTACAGTAGATACTTTCGATGAAGGCACGTCATCATCTGCCCACGATGATTTGGATTATGCCTCTAGAGCAGATTTCCAATGGTATGTGGGCACGGTAAACGTGTCCGCCAAATTCCACCAGTTTCAGTTAAGGGCCTATGAACTCGGTAAAGAAAGAAGTCTCAACTACGAAGAGCATGTGGAGGAGTTGCTGTGAGTAAGAAAGGATTGTCGCAATAGAAAAGACAGCTGGTGACTAACTATGACTGTAGATCGCAGACTCATATCATGCTGTTGAAGCCGGATCAAAGATGCAAACTTGCCTTGAACGTGTACGGAGGCCCCTCAACGACTAGAGCCATTCACGAAGCTGCCAATAAGGCTCTACTTCCGCACTCATCTGAAGTACCCCAGGTTACTCAAACTCGCTTTTTGCAGTTGGTGGATGTAGGTTGAGCAAATGAAGCCTTGAAACCTTTGCCATCTATCATAACTGATATCGTTTCAGCAACTGCAAAAAGGAGATATGGAGTTGGACGCCTTCGACATTGAACTCTCGTTTCTCATTAGAGACGTCAACCGACTGACCAAAAACGTTCTGCTGGCGATAAGAGACTTGTAAGAGCTTTTAGGTAACCACTTGTTATGTTATGTTCGTTTCTCATTGAATTTCTGATAGGGCAAGACGCTTGCCAGTGAAAACCATGCTGACCAGCCCGTCCGAGGGAGAACTATGTGTCACCTGGCTGGATCCTATACTAAGACAACTTTTGTCTCAGAATGAACGGCGATTTTTCTGGTATGCCAATATGTTACTACATCAGCGCCATCTGACAATAAAATAAACTCTTTCAACAGGGCAAATGGAGAATCAGCAGAAAGCAGAGAGCGCAAGGGGCATCGTGGCAACCAGGCTGATGGCTATGTTTCTATAATACAGCAACGAGAATATGATTGCACCATTGGATATGTTGAGGTCAAGGCAGAAGATCGCTCTGGTGATAACCACATTATCTCCCACGATCTCATAAGGTTGGCCAAGTTCAACAAGGATGCCATTGATGGTAACTCTGTGGACGGCGCCATAGCCATTCAAGCAGTAGGTACGTGTACTTTACTCTTTTATTTTTCACTCTTAGTAGTTTCACAGAGGTAGATTCTATGATCTTGACGGTCTTGACATTATTGCAGGATGGACCATGTCCATATACATCACCAAGCTCTTAGCCGATGGTGTGTATGTGATGACGGAGATGGCGACGTGGACACTACCACGGTCACTGGAAGAGCTGGACATGTTTGTCACTGCCTCGACTTTACGCAAGATGATGACTGTTCAACAGTCTTATCTGCGTAATTGTCAGAGGTCAACATGTCCAGAAGACTTGCAGGAAAATACTCGACCGACCATGAGTAGCCCACGGATGCAAGAGTTCTTGGGTGACACCAGAGATAGGCGTCGTCTGTCACCTATGTTGTAGAAATAATCGTTCAGACTAATAAACAGACACCTATTATGTATATCTTTCAGTCAATACTTTTTGTTCAGTCCGGAGGACTGAACAAACATTAGCCTAGAGATTTCCCGCCCTCCCATACCTTCCTTCGGCTCAAGAAGGATCGATTAAACAGTTTACACATAGGACTCATATTAATAGTTTATTACCCCTTTGTATATATTTTTAGCTGGAAGTTCCGCGAAAAAGAAGAACTGATCGCAGCATCTCTAAGCTCATGTTTGTCCAGTCCTTCGGACTGAACTATTATTATAGAAACAGATAAATACAATGGCATGATAATCGTATGCCAGTGGTGTGAAAAGTGGTATAAAATCAGATGTGTATTGATCCGTCATTTGGGCAGCCATAGTGAGATCGCGTTCTGACTCATCACCTCAGATCCTCCCAAGGAACATATGCCAGCGGAAAGCTATTAAATCAACCCTACAGCGAATTCACAACGGTGTAAACGAACACGTAGGCGATGGTTTTCAAATGCCAGAGTTTTTTTTTTTTTTTATGTGCGTCTCTGGCTGCCATTAACAATGATGACAGGTATGCAAAACTTCAAGCCAATGTATCATAGTGCTGTACCACGGGGCTAGTAGCAAGACATCAACCATACGACTAAACGTTGATCCACATGTGGGTCTAAATCACTTCTGTCTCTCAATGCATGAGAAGACTCCTGAGCTCCATGCTTCGGCGGGCATGGCTGCCAATCTGAACCGCAGCTGGCTTTACATTTGTGGTGGGTTGAAATTTACGTTCTATAGCGGCTAATGTCGCTTTAAAACTCTTGACAATAGGTTGATCTTGCTTAAATAATATACACTATATTCTCCATATGATGTACTGTAGGAAAACCCCCACAGTATATCGCTCTAGATGTGATTGCCTGCGCACATGTCTAAGAATATACACGCCAAGAGAGACTAATGCAAAGAGGTGATCATCGAGGGCAGTGGCGAATGCGCGAGGGATATTTCTAGAGGGGAAGGAAGTTGTGTGACTCTTGAGCCGGTATACTGAGGACAAGGAGGCCAGGATCTAGTATAACGTCCAAAGGAGGAGGTCAAGGGGACCACAAGAAATTTCTACTGTTACGAGCCCTCCTGCTAGCTGATTAACATTAAATCTCAAGGGTGCAGCGATGCTGGTCTAGGATCAATAGTAAAGTGATCAATCAAAAAGAATTAACCATATAGGTGTCATTATAAGAGGGCAACATTGCAGTATATGAGAGAAATATGATATGTTTATTGCTAATGTATCTCATACCCTGACTGGTAAAGGAGGGGTATTTTGATGGAGTACTACAAATTTTTGATAAAAATTTGAAAGTAATGAAATGACGTTCAAGAAGTCTAGTGGTATATCGTTTTGAAATCCTAGGCTTGCTAGAGGGATAGCCACCGGTATGGGTTACTTGATGAGTTTAAAGACGTCGCTTCTCTGAACGACGCAAGATCTTGGCGTCAGCATCATTGCCGATATTGGAGGCATTGAGGTCGAGGCAGTTCAATGCACTGATGAGGGCATCACCAGAATCGCAATCGTCATTATCGCCATCATCATCGCCATCGTCATCACCGTCATCACCATCATCACCATCATCATCATCATCATCATCATCATCATCATCATCATCGCAGTCCTCATCATCGTTTCTTGAGAGAAGGGCGATGTCACGTTCCATAACATCGACCTGAACGGAAGCAACATCACGCTTGTTCATGGCAGCAACCTCATTGACAGGAGCAGCGCGTTCGACGGGAAGGGCAAGAACCAAGGAGACAGCAGTAGCCAACAACAGGATAGTAGTCTTCATTGTGAGTGAGAACAAAGGAGGGGACAATGGATGTGAAATTGCGGTCTTTCATCTAGTGTTTTATACCCATTCAAAGCGACTCCTCTGACGCCTCATTATAGTGGGGTAGACAACTCTCCTATCCCAAATCTGCAGGAGAAGGGTTAACTATGGAACTGGTACACGCGTCCGGTTAGCAGTAGAGTATACAACGAAGGTACTCCTTATAAACAATCCAGCCATCTAGATCAGTCTCTTTTGGAGTCCATGATAGAAAAAGGACTGGCCTGGCAGAAACATGTGCATACGTTGAGAGATCTACGTTCTCTGATGACAAAGAAACTTTGTTGCCATAAGCAGTGGACAATAGGCCCAAACACCAGGATTATCCAGGCATTGTGTGACATGAAGGCGGTTATATTATATGATTTTGGAAGATTAAATTTCTCGCACGAGGTGGAAAATGCCCTGAGGACATCACCTAAAAAAAGCTTTCATTGGCTTGATGAAGCCCATGTTGAGCGAGCTCAAGCAAAGAACTAGAATGGCTATACTAGTAAAACCCACCTGAGGTTCCAAGAATAGGCAACCAGTAAAATCAAAATGGCTTTCCAGGAGGCAAGGACAGACATTATTATGTACAAAGTTTTTTTTTATTATTATTTGTTAGGAGCAGCGTAGGGATGAAGGAAGGCTCGTGATAAAGAATCCATGAGATGGCCTCCAAGCCATTTAATGTTCCTTGTTGACAATGTTCTTGTCGTACTCTCTGTACAGACCCTTTGTTTGCTCAACTCCTTTAGCATTCGTGAAAATGTCTTCTACAGCACTTTCTTCCTCTAATTGCTCGTTGATAAACCACTGCAAGAAGGTATCCGTGGTGAAGTCACTTTCATTACGAGCTTGAGCCATTAATCGGTGAAAGCGCTTTGAGTTTTCACGTTCAGCGTTCAACGCAAATTCCCTACGTAACGCCAAAAGTAAGTATCTGGATGAAAAATTAATTTGAATTGAATGAAATGACGCTGAGACAACTTACCATGCCTGAACAGGGGTTTCAAAGCTGAACTTTTGTTCCTCCAAGCTGCGGACCATACCCCCCTTAGCTCGACGTTTGACAATATGGTCAAAAATCTTGAGGGCGTGGGTACGTTCCTCGTCACTATGGGTTCGGCACCATTGTGCGCTGCCTGGCAACTCCAAATCATGGAACCAAAGGGACATGGAGAGATAAAGGTTGGATGCGTTGAGTTCTTCGTTGGCTTGGTTGATCAAACCGTCCAACATAGAGTCTGAGATTTTCATAGCAGAGCTCATTTTAGTTGTGTATAATAAGTGATGATGAAGAGAGTGGGGAGTAGGTTTCAAAAAGCCTCTGAAAGCGGTTTGAAGAGGTAAGCGTTGTAGAAGCATGGTCTAGAGAGAGGGCCGTAGTGTGCAGTGTTAAATAAGAGTTCAAATGGAAGGCATAACGTCGCCATGACGTTATGCGATGAGACAGCACTATTTGGTCATCATTTTTTTTTTCGCAACACAGGCGGGAAATCGATCGAATGGGATAAAAATTTATATAATCACGTTGTTTTGGGGGAACTCTATGGTCTAATCGCATTCAAACTGTACAAGCGCCGTCTAAAGGTAGGATGGATATTATTGCGTCTTGTTGGTAAGACCAGTGACTTGGCGTTTGTCTCGGCCAATCTGGAAAACCCATCCATACAGACCACCAGCCAACGTAGCCACAGTAACATACAAAGCGATCTTGAGGACAATAGAGTCAATGGCCAAGAAGAACCAAGCCAACCATGAGCTTCCACCGAGAATAGCTTGGAACAAAAACAGGCCAGCGGCGGCACCACTGGCAGCGACACCCAAGGGAGCGACGTTCAATTTCTCCAAATCAGGAACGCCCAATACGCGTGCTGAAAAGGTGAAGAGAGCGGAAGACACACCCGCCAAACTGACAGAGTAGGCGATGTTGAAGATGAGTCGGATGAGCGAAGTGAATTTTCGCGATGAGACAGTAGCTACATCCATGGTGGGGAACCATCCGAGAACGACATGGGAAGCAAACAAAGCTAATGCAGCGATGGCAAAGTATTCATCACGGGCGAGCACGCGTAGGCGTAATTGCAAAGTCTGTTCTTGAGCCATGAGATTAGATGAGAGAGGGCGATCAAGGCGAGTATTTGGACTCTTGACAATATACAGCCAGCCACTCGCAATCTATGAAAGTAAGCCCTAACCCTGAGGAAGTAATCTGCAACCCAGCCAGCCAATAAAATGGGTACCAAATAAATATATTTGTGTTTATTTTGGGAAAAAGTGTACAGTGTGGAAGAGCAAGTGTGAGTAGAAAGAAAAAGAGAAATAAAAAATGTAGTGTAGGCAAAAAGAATCAAGAGCCATGCTATGAACATCAACAGTGTTTGCCTTGATCCATCTACCAAGACTTGAGCTTCATAGTTCCATTTTCCATAAGGTTGGTGTGCATCTTGAATACCTTGTCAAGCATTTGGGGTTCATGACCCATACCAGCAGCCAAACACTTGCGAGAAGCATAGTCAAAGTAGTCCTTGAGCTGGTCCTTGTAGTCAGGATGGGCACACTTATCGACTGCAGGGCAAAACCGGACAGATCAGCAAAAATATTGACACTCAGTTTTTCACGCATAAGCCAAAGTACTCACTAATCACTTCAGCACGTTCTCTAGGGCACAAACCACGAAGGTCAGCAAGACCTTGTTCAGTCACATACACGTCCAAGTCGTGTTCAGTTTGATCGACATGGGAAGCCATGGGAACAATGCAAGAGCTAGAAGACGTTGGTCAAACATAGAGCGGTAAAAAGTCCCACAGCATAGACACTTACATTCCGGTGGGATCGGTCTTGCTTGGTCTGGCAGAAGGAGTATGCATGATACTCAATTTGGCATTGCGCAAAAAGTCGTTGGATCCACCAAGACCGTTCAACATGGCAGATCCACACACCATGGTGGAGTTAGCCTGACCGTAAATATCGAATTCCACGGGAGTATTCATGGCGATGACGCCAAGTCTACGGATGACTTCGGGGTTGTTGGAGACTTGCTGGGAGCGAAGCAAAAGCTTGTCCTATAGGCGATGGGTTAAAAATTTTGTTGGATTCAAGCAACTCTGCCATTAATCAGACAACCGTTCTAACCTTGTAGTTTTCCCAGTTCTTGTAAAAGTGCTCGAAACCATGAGGAGAGAAACGAACAGAGGTGGCACTGGCAAAGCTCAGACGGCCAGAATCAAAGAACTCGAGGAAAGTGTCCTGAAGGACTTCGGTGAATCTAAACAACGGCAGACAGTTGAGTACAATGAGCACAGCGAACGACGCCTGTTTACAGATAATACTTACACAGTGACATCCTCGAAAGGACCATTGGCCAAACCACCAATGACAGCGTTGGCAATATTTCCAATACCGGACTGAAGGGGCAAGAGCGACTTGGGGAGACGACCATGGTCGACTTCGTGACTCAAAAACTCTATCAAATGACTTGCGATAGCCTTTGACGTTTCATCTGCAGGCTGGTTAGGACCGGTGTTATCTGGGCGGTCGCTTTCGACAATAGCGACAATCTTGTCGGTATCCACGGGAATAGAGGTCTATGAGGCGGTGGGAAGGGTTTTAGAAAAGCGTCAATACAGGATCGGAAACACCCTATGGTCAACTCACGGATCCGATACGATCTTCAACCGCCATAATCAAATAAGGTTTTCGGTGAGGGGGAAGTTGAGAAGAATTGATATCATGAAGTCCTTCGAAAGATGGAATTCGGGTATTGACTTCAATAATGATCTTATCAGCCATTTGGATCAACTCCGGTGTAGCACCAACAGAGGCACCAGGAACAATACCACCATCTTCAGTAATAGCAGTGGCCTCCACGACGACAACGTCCAAGTTGGGGCCATTGGGTTTATCCTTGGTGTAGTATCCTAGAAGAAAAAATGGGGGTTGATTAGCATAAGCAGTCACCGGCCAGACAAGGCGCGATTGTTTTTTTTTCTGAACAAACCGTATGTCAAGTCTTGAGGAAATTCAGACAAGTGCTTGTCAGCAAATCGAATGCGTCCTTCGTTGATTCCCTTCTTAATATTCTTTCCAACTTGATGGGGATATCTTCGATCAATCATGTCAAGGCGAGCCCATCGGTCCTCGGTCTCGGCGCCAGTGGAGGCTCCCACAAACAAATTGAACTTCATTTTTCCTGCAAGGTCGTTGGCTTCAACATGATCGGCAAGAACGGTGGGAATGACTTTGGGATAGCCCACACCGGTAAATCCTGACCAGCCAATGTATCTAATTTTTTGCGTTAGGACCACTCCCAAAGCGGGTATCATGACACCAGCAGCACTTACTGGCCGTTTTCAAAGAACTTGAGCGTATCCGTGGCCTTCATGACTTTATTATAGAGCGCAGGGCGTCTCACTCTAGACTTCAAAGCAGCTGAAACGGCAGACATGAGGAAAGAAGTAAGAGCAGGAAAAAAAAAAAAAGTGAAAGAGAGAGAAAGTGACGGGACAAATTAATGCAGTTAAATACTTTTGAGCGGTAAACGGGAAATTTGAACGTCAGTTTTGTTGGGAGGGAAGCGTTATTGGAGTTTACACTTGCTTATTGGTTTTAGTGCCCCGAACATGTGGGGAGAGCTACCCCCCAGTAACTCAAGTAGACATCATATGTTTCTGAATCCATCATCGACCTTGACACCTCTTGTTCGGGAAGATTCGGGAATCATGTTCCGCCCCGCCGCCCACCTACCTCAGCTCGCCATTCCACCATGTTGCAAAGAGAATGCAGCAAGCTTGTTTAAGCGTATGGAGTTTCCGGTACATACCATTGGAACTGAGACATAGCCAAGAAGAATGTCTCGTAATATTTGCAACCAATGAGACCATGAACAGCTCGGGGAGGCATTTTTACATAATAAAATATGTGTGAACAAAAGGTCTATTGAACGAATGCATGAAAGGATGCCTGCTGTGATTGTAAAAAAGTGCTCAACCCGTAGAAAAAAAAATCTGGCTAAATGGTCAATCCGAAGTAACGTATTCCTGGGTTCCTTGCGGAGCCGAACTCAAATGATTTGAATGTTTTAGAACCCCACAACAAACGTTGTCATCCTGTCCCCCACAGCAACAATCGCTCTACATGCGTTCAAAAATAATGGTATGAATATGTATTATAGGTGGGTGCAGCCTCTTATAATGGCCGATTGTTCTCAAAGTCCACCGATGCTCGCGGCGTGGAGGTGTTGGACAGAGAAAGATGGCTGGATGATCCACTGCGGTTGGCTTCTTTCAAAAGGAACGATATCCAAGCATCGCTGAAAGACTCCTTGTCCTCTTCACCTTCTGGTACGCCAGTTGGGCTCATCCATCCTTTTGGACTAGGCGTATGTCCGCCGCTGGTGGATGGCCGATTACCAGATCTCCGGATCAGTCCGATTTGCTCCTTGTGTTCATCCGACAGTTGAAGAACACTGGCAATGACATTGAGAATATCATACCGCTTACGGTCTCCTCTAGGTGCAATAAGGAATCCAACCAAAAGATTGGTAATAAGTTGTCTGCAAGGGCAAGGTTAGTTGACAAGTGGAATGAACAAGGCCATGACCGCAACTTACCTATCAACACTCGTGTCACTGACTCCCTCTTTGATGCGCTTCATGGCTTCCACAAGATGCTCATTCAATATGATGGCTAATAAAATGAATATGTCATGATTGAGTAAAAACCATCACATGTTGTATCAGGCAAGGACGTTTACCTTCATGGCGAAGCTTGCCAATCAAAAGGTTCTTTTCTTTAATCTCTTGTTCATATCGCTTGGAACGCTCCACATCTCGGTGGAACTGCTGCAATTCATTCTATTGGCACAATGAGCGGGCGGGCTTCGTCCAGTGACGTTGAGTGCGGGGGAGAGTCAGCTTACCTCAGCAACGGTGGCTCGCTCTTGATATTCAGCCAGCGACTTCTTCGCAGTTTCGAGTTGATGTTCCATACGTTCCACGGCACTCCTGATTTCCAACTCCTTGCCTGTTACGTTTTCATTGTGTTAAACATGGGCTGGGCAGACAGACCAAAATCCACCCTGTCAGGGCAAAAACTCACTGGTTTGGAATTCCTCTAACACCGCTTGAAGGTTCGTCAGACTGGTTCGTTCACTCTCTCTCTGCTCATTCTGTGTTCGAAGCTCTTCTTCTGTTCGCTCTACATCCTTCATAGCACTTCTCAACTGCTCCGTCAATTGGACACGCTGCGTGCTTTCCTCCATCGCTCGAAGTTCCCATTCTTCGCGCTCGCTCTGCAACTTCTCCACTCGATGCTTAAGGCCATTGAGTTCCTTCTCCAAGCGACTAATATCCTTGGCCGCCTCTTGATCGCGATTCTCAAGTTGTTTTCGTAAATGGTTGTTCTCAGCATGGAGGTTTTCGCACTCTCGTCGTAGATCTTCACAGGCCTGTAACAGCTCGGCATTGTTCTCTCGAAGTTTTTTGTTCTCATCTTGATTGGCCTGAAGTCGAGGAGCCAAAGCGTTCTTCATGGCCGATAATTTCTCCAAAAGCAAATTGTGCTCCTTCTCCAAATGATTTTTGCTATTGGTCATCTGTAGCAGGTTGGCTTCCAGATCCTGCACTGATTTTCGTGCTGTATCACGGTCCGTGGTAACGGTCTCTAATCGACTGGTCAAATCATCGAGCGTCAACTTCATTTGCTTGGAGGCTTCGGATCCCTCAGTTGCTGCACTCAGTCGCTCCTGCAATGAGTCTTTGTCGGACTGCAATTGATCACGGTCGTCGTTGAGTTGGTTGATCTGAAGTTGGAGGGATGTGACCTGTCGTTTCAGTTCACTTTGGGCCGTGGTGGAGGCAGTTTCTGCCGCTCGAATAAGCTCTTTATCCTTGTCTTTCTGCTGTTGTAAGAATTCACGTAGATTTTCTATGGAGCGTAGCAGTGAGATAGGTAGACTGTTGTCAAGATTGAGATTCTCGTCGTCCTCATCCGATTTCATGATCCTGGTCAACACTCCTTCGACGTTGTTGCTAATACTGTCGGTAGATTTTCTAGATACATCTATGCGAAGTGTATGGAATGGTAAGTGGACAAAAAATAAAAGTAAAAGAGCCATGATAGAAGGATGCCAGTGGAGACTTACCAGCAGCTTCAGCTTGAAGATTTTTGATGGTTTGCTCCTGTTCCTTGATCCGCACTAAATAGGCTTCGGTGACCTCCTTGTCTACAGTAGGGAAAGGGAGGGTTATTATGGATCTGACCTGAGTGGGGCCCTCTAGTGCAGAGTTAAGGGCAACTTACCATTACTGTTATTTGCTGCATCACTCGACATTTCATTACTCGTGGCATTTGCTTCAACCAAGGCCTCAAGATCTTTGATTTTAGCAAGGAGAGGGGTAGTTGGTAATTCCAGTTGATGTTCAACCACAGACTCCTTGGAGTTGGCCAAAGTATCCAGTGCCTCCACAAGATTCATCAGTTCTCGCTCGCGAGCCTGGAAAGACTCCTTAAGTTCCTCCACACTGTCGTGGTTGGTATCGATACCATTTGGTTCCGTGTCCTTTTCATTATTAGCAACCGCCGATCGCAGCTTTTCTATTTCTTGTTCAAGATTATGTACAGTCTCCACAGACGTTTGTTTCTCGGCTTTCAACTTTTCCAATTCATCGACGTACGTTTGATGGTTTGCCTTTGTTTTCTCCAATTCCTCGGCGTACGTTTGATTATCTGCCTTGAGTTTCTCCAATTCTTTTTGGTGTGTTTGTTGTTGTTCATCTCGTAGAGTCTGCAACTCTTTATCCAGACGCTGGATAACTTCGTCTTTCTCTTTTATGATCGTGCCTTGTCGCTTTTCGCTCTCAGCGAGTGTCGCTTTGAGCTGTTCTATGGCTTGTTCGGATTCCTTGAATCTGGATTGATCTTTCTCCTGAATCAGCTTGGTTTGTTCAGCCGCTTGTTGCAACTTGTTCAGTCGAGCATTTTCCTGCGCCAAGGTTTTAAGATGACTACCAGCTTGAGTGAGCTTTTTCTCAAGGTCCAATGCACGTTTTGCTGCAGTGCTTTGGTCGGCTAAGGTTGAAATGCGGGCTTCCAGGGCAGATCGTGCACGTTCCCAGTCCTTTTCTTTAGCTTGGAACGATGCCCGCAAACTCTCGACAGTGTCTGTAATGCAGAGGGTCAGTTGATGCAGTAGCCGGCGTGTAGACCATGGTGCTATACTCTACCCCCATCATTCGAGGCCATGTCGTTTTGTGAATCAGTGACAAGCAAGCAAACCAAAGACCGACACGAAATTGAGAGTTTTTATTGTAAAGAAACAGGCGTAACACCAATGACAACGGGTTTCTAAAAACATTTTATAACAAGCTTAGAAGCATTTGCTTTCAACAATGGAGGCGCCTGATTCTTCGTATTCTGCCTTGGATATCCAGAGTTGGTGGAAGGTTCCTAGAGATGCAAGAATAGAACCACCAAGCCAGCTACTGCATCTGCGGTCAGTCGATGTGCCAGCGGCGTGGATCTTGATTTTACTCTGCAGGTACAAACGTTTCGTTAGTCAATAAAATAAAACCCCCCAATGGCATGACCTAGGTTTTCAAACTTACACCTGGCGCCAGTCCAGGAAGCTCATAGTTGAGTCGCTCCACAAATCCAGGGAACAGTGTGTTGCCGCCCGTCACCACAACATTGTTGAACAACAGTGGACGAAGATCAATATCACAGCCGCAGATACTGTTGAAAATAAGCTGATGAATACCAAGACTGGCATCGATTTGTTGTTGTGTGAATGTAGCACCGTAAGCACCTTCGGTACCAGGCTGAGATGAAGGGTGTTTCAGAACCAGACATGAATACGCAATTCAGCAAAGTACGTTCACTTCACTCACCTTGGTCAGATAGGAACGGGGTTGGAAGAGGAGTTCAGTAGCTCTGAATCGTTCTATTCCAAAGGTGTTGTTGAATCCATCTGGGAATTCAAATGGCTTTTGTGGTCTAGCAGCTAAAACGCTATTCCAGCAGAGCGAGCCATGGTCAGCAAACCTGTATGAATTTCACACCCACTACAGTCCTCCACTTACTCTTCATCATATGGCGTTTCGGCCACTTGGCATACCGTCTCCTTAAATTCATGAATGGCTCGCTAAATGGACAAGTCAGTTAGTCGGCCGTGAATATTTTTCTGACAAAAACTGAACGCTGTATTTTTGACAACGCAGCCCCAGGTTTTTTTTTTAAGCAGACACGACGTACCTCTTGTTGCAGTTGATGGAAACTGTCTGTAGTATTAGGGCGATCCTTTGCTTTGAACTTGGGAGGTTGGCCAGGATCAGTAGCTTCCTTTTCACCGATAAGATACTGAGGTGTGACAGAGTAATCAAGGCTGCGCTTAAGCTCTTCCATAATCTGCGCTGACACCACATTACCGCCTATTGGTTGTCTCAAAATGCCTACAACGAAGACGGGTTAACACACGCCCAAGTCTCTTTCGGATCGTCCCCTGTCTAGTGCATCATACCTCTCTTCAAGACCAAGCCATCATACACAGGGATGGCGCTGGTGGTGCTGCCGCCGGAATCCAGAACAAGGGCAGTGGCTCGACCGACTGAGAATCTATACCACGGAGGAGGTTGTTATGTATCACACTGAAAGTAATGATGCGGTTGATGGAAAAGATACTAACGCTGACATGACTGCATCTTTAGCAAGGTAAAAAGCAGGGAAATTGAATGTTTCGAAAGCGAGTTCCACTAGTTTTTCGCGCTTCTCAGACGGGTTCCAAGCAGGCTCTGTGCACAACAAGGGATGTTCGGTTGGATCGATTCGTAACCGCTGGTGGAAAGCAGATTTCCATATTTCCTCAAAACCTTCCCAATCCTCAACTGAAATCCTAGCATCAATATCCATGTGGAACCGTTTGCCCGCCCCACATCCTTGAACCTACCCAGTCCGTCCTTCAAAGGGTTCCTGATTTCCATATTCTGTCTCCAGGTGTTGACCTCTCCGTCTCCAATGTAATATTTTCGTACTTTCTTTGGTCCAGAGGTCGCAGCATCTTCCGCCTTAGCTGCTGCATCGCCGTTAGGGGTACGTGCGTCTGTCATTTCTGTATCTGGATCAGCTGCTTCAGGTTGATCATGGCCGTTTTGCGAATTTGGTTCCGTGCTTTCTGTTTCAATCACTCCGTATGAAGAAGGGAAGATTGCTTTTGGCGTGTCTTCACCTGCGTAACCTGCACGAGTCCATGTGCTGCCAACGTCTAGAACCAAGGCATTAACTTCGTCTGGAGGAATGGAGAATGTGCGATGAATTAGTGATTATTCTGGAGCGGAATTGGATTGCAAGTCATTAGATTCATACCACCACCGTAAGTCACCATGTGTGCAGTGAATTAAATATAGTAGGTTGCTATTGAAAAATGTTGTGACAGAATGAGCGCGCTTTTCTGTAGAAGACTGGATGTTGTTGTGACACGTGACTCTTATGGCGGGAGGACGTGGTCGAAGGCAATCAGTTCCACTGATTGCGAGCCGATATCTAGCCCAATGCCGTCACTTTCACAAACCACTCACCAAGGTTCTTCCCACAGTAAAAAAAAAACCTATGCTGTTTATGAAATTGTTTTTTATATTAGCAGCTGGGAGAGCATTTGTTACAAAAAGATACAATAGTTGCAAACGTAGAAGGAATTGACCTTTGTAACCATATCGTACCTTATTTTTATCCTCGATGAGCTAAAGCTTCGTTATTCCATTAAAAGACAGTATGCTATGAAGGTCTCAATGATAATGAATCATTCTTCATCGCCGTTCCCATAACTCTATCTCCTTTACCATGGACATTGATGTAGCATAACAATGACTCTTTGATGTACCCTCAAGCACCAATGTACTGGGCACCAGTGTACTCTTTATTTTAAAGGGCTCGTAGAGACATGGGAAGCAAATTTGTTATGTATTCAAGTGTTTTCCCAATCAAAGATAGTGAAATTTTGGAGTATCTCATACTGTCTTTGAACATCAATTCATTGCCGAAGGCTAATACATAGTATTTTCTAGAGTACTATTTGAGTGGTGAAGCCAATGTCACTTCTAATACAATAAGAAGAATATTTTCATTCATTTAACTATGGATTCCTATGGAATAGCCTGCTGAAGGTCTCTCGATCAACTTGTCTTCCAGGTTGCTCGAACATAATTTTTTATTTGCACAATGTCACTGCGACGATTTTTAGTGAGTAAATTTACTATTGAACTCAGATTTAACCCGCAGCTATCCTCGACGTATTCCTCCACGCGGCAACTTACAGACCATTCGTAATGTCAAGCCCGTCTGAACAGGACCTTTATAGCGGCCTGCAGGAGGCTCTTAGGAATCAACAGCAATGGCAAGTACAAGATGACCTTGATGACATTGACGAAGGTGATGACGCTGGCTACTTGGATGATTCCACCGAAAGCTCTTACGATGCTGACTTGGAATGGGAGGAAAGCAAAGAGCAAATCAATATGCTCCTGTCTCTTGTGATATTCCCGTTTGTTGGTAAATGGCTCGGTCGTAAATTCTCATTCTGGGGTAAGTACCTGATAATGGGGCACCTTTTTTCATCACGGTTCCTGACGCCGTCTCCTTTCAGTGTGGTCGAAATACCTTCACAGCTTCTACGTTGATAGCGCACGACGCATTGCTGCCTAAACACCTTGACTCGACGTTGTGGCGAGGAGAAAAATCACGTGTGCCAGTCCTTTGGCGCGTTGTAAATAAATCGCTTCTTTCTTTTCCTCTAGAAGAAACTTTGTACGCTTGCAATTAAACTGAAAAGGAAACTGTAATGAAACTTTTTTTGCCAAACCTTGGTGATTTGAGCATTAGTAGTGGTTGGCGGAGCCAATGAAAGAGATCACCGAGCATCCAAGATCCTGGAACGCTAGAAAAATGCCGCTGAACGGTATTCCAAACACCAATTTAAGCAGCGAGAGAAATGGAAGGTATTGGCAACGTGGAAATATTGAGATGTTAGTGTGTGATAAGATTGATTGATTGCCCGGTAAAAAGGCCAATAAACTTCAGCGAGCTGGTCCCCGATCGAGATGGGTACAGTCAATTATCTCGTCTCGTTTGGGTTACTTGGGAAGAGTGTCTGTATCGTTTTTCTTTTCGCCATAAATTTGCTCATTGATGTCTACTTTTGTATAATACTGTCCAGATGGTCGATGTATATAAATCCCTTCATAAAAGAAGTAACGTTTATAGAAAAAATATGCTTCTGTCAATACCGACACAATGGTAACCACCCCGCAGTGAGCGGCGGGTTTTAATATGCCCACCTGTTCAGACTGATTGGCTGAGAGGCATTGCAGTTACAGCTTTAATGACCTGCACAAGCGGGTTGTAGCGCAACACAGCAGCACCAAAGAACAGAGAGAAATCAATTTAGAAATTGTTTCCTGACTAGCGACTTGACACAGCCATCTCAGAACTTTTGTTACAGGAAAGTATTTAAAGAAGGTGGTCGTATATGTCGAAATTAACACTAGTCATTCATTTACCTTGATCTGAAGCCCTATCCACCATGGTCTCTGTCAAGTTTATCACTGCCATCACCCTTGCATTGGCTGCCACTGTCTCTGCTGCTCCCGCTTCCCATGGCCATAAGACCCCTAGCCACCACCAAAAGTTGGTTCATGGAAAGTACTTTGACCGTTTCATGATCGTTGTCTTGGAGAATCAGGACTACGAGGTAACCATACACCCATTCAAATTTGAGCATTTTGATCACATTTATACTGACGTTTTTTTGTTAAGGCCGTCGTTGCTGATCCCTACTTTGGATCTCTCGCCAAGAAGCACCACGGTAACTTGCTTACCAACTACCTTGCCACCACACATCCTAGCGAGCCCAACTACATTGCTATGATCGGTGGTTCCACCTTTGGCAACGATGAGTGAGTGAGCAAATGATTGAAGCACATATAGGGAAGTTTTGATGACTGATAAGATCTTTTTCCATGAAAACAGTGACAGTGATGTTTCCTACAATGTAAGTACCTGGTTCTTCTACTTCAATTATGTCTAAAAAAAAATTTTTTTTTTTTCACCATCCTGACCTAAATTTTGCAATGCCGTTCGTAGGAAAAATCCATCGTCGATATTTTGGAGCCCAGAGGTATCTCCTGGAAGGAGTACGCCGAGGATTACATTCCCGGCCCTAACGGTGACTGTGCCATGGACAGCGCTCAATCCAAAAACGTCTACCGTCGCAAGCACAACCCCTTCATCAGCTTCTCCACTGTCACCTCCAACCCTGCTCGTTGCAAGAACATCGTTCCTGGTAGCCAGTTGGCTGTCGATCTTAAGGCCAAAAACCTTCCTCAATTCATGTTCTACACGTAAGCCTACCGTTAGCATTGCATTATTTATTAGCATTTTCCCGAGTTAAACAGACCGCGCTTGCAGCCCCAACATGAACAACGACGGTCACGACACCACCTTGGCTTATGCCTCCAACTGGACTCACAGCTTCATTGAGCCTCTCTTGGCCAACAAGGACTTCACCAAGGACACTGCCGTCCTTTTGACCTGGGACGAGAGCAAGAACTACAGCAACACCGACCAAGTTTGGTCCGTTCTCGTTGGAGGTGCCGTTAAGGCCAAGCGCAACAACGTCGATAACACCAAGTACAACCATTATTCCATCCTTGCTACCATCGAGAAGAACTGGAAGTTGCACAACTTGGGTCAAAACGACGCCAACGCCACTGCCTTCAAGTGGTAAACATTTAACATAATTCAGCAGCAGGGGTAGCTGCAGTGTGTCCACAACCTTACGCATATAAAGATCATATGAGAGCAAAACGTGCTGAGCATTATTATGACCTCCGGCATCCGCGTTAATTTTATTTATCCCCCACCGTAACAATAAATTATCTCGATGAATCTTATTGAAAATTTACTGAATGTGTATACTTTATTGACTTTCTGTTTTATCGTGGCAGTATGCTGGAGACAAGTTACTGGATATGGACCTCATTTTTCGTGAAAATCACCATTAACTATTTTTCAACGGAAAAAGATCCATGTTAGGGCAAATGGACACGAGACATAATTCAATAGGAAATGATAGGTATATTCCAGATATGTTTCAATGTTACTTTACATTTGTTGTCTCTACAATGTCTTTGTTTTCTTTCCATGGTAGCGCCTTTTACATAATACGAAGGTAAAGGAGAAACAAAAATTCTATATTTTTTTGGGGTCGGCATGCCCCATGTAAACCGGCCATGTTTTCTACAAGGATGAATAAGCCTATGTGAGTCTTGCTGTTGGCCGGAGTCTGTTGCACAGCATAGCATGTTATTCACACAATTTGAACCGGCAGGCTTAACCATTTGAATTGTAAAACGAAATGAACTGGGACAGTCTTTTTCCGCTATGATCATCGGCCAACCAATGGGGAAAACCATCCAATGGCAGACGATGATTTACTCACGGGAAAAGCCGTTCTGCAAATGGTTAAATCATTGGCAGGACTGTACTCCACACAATAACATCAATGTTATCATTTTTTCCACTTTCGGTCCTCTCCTTCCGAGCGACGTCGCCTTCATCTAACCAGCGAGTAATCAATTTTCACCAATGGCGGCTGCCTCGTGTAGTACGGACCTTGAAAAGAAATGAAAACGTTGGCGCGTCTGAGTTACACTCTCAGCGCTAGAAGATCAACGTGCGTAGACATATTTCATCTCAGCTAAAATACCATACGGAACGATATATTTTCTATTATTTTAAATTGAAACGGTATGGAGGGGCTTTCTCGGTCCTACAGCCATATGTGCCACAATGGTCATCTAATCGGTTTGCATAAGCATTAGCTGAATTTGCTAAATAGTGACCATGGTGACTATTTCGACATGGTCAATATAGAAACGGAACATGTAGTCGATGTCAGGTATGAGAACCGAATCACATTGTGGTGATAAAGAGGTCCTGCAATTTAATTTTTGGATTGGATCTAGTATGGTTCGGGGTTTATGACCCTATCGAGTAAAGTAGTACTGAGGGAACTGCAAGGTTGGATTATACATCATTTACGGCCATTGGCTCCAACTAAGGTTATTTTTTCTGCATTGTAAACGGGTGGGAAGCACGGGCCCTGAATTGTTCATTGAGTATAAATACCAACGGATGGAGATCTTTCATTATTCCCAGCTACAAGTTTTCCAACCATGGTCTCCATTAAATTCATCTCTGCTGTCATCGCCACTGCCGTCGCTGTCGTCTCTGCTGCTCCTCTTGAGAAGCGTATCGTCACTGGCAAGTCCTTCGATCACTTCATGGTTGTTGTTCTTGAGAACGAGGATTACTCCGTAAGTTTTACTAGCTGGGTTCGAGTACACTTTGTATATTTACTAAATGCTGCAATGTTATTCTAGGCTGTCATGAAGAACACTTACATGAGCGGTCTTGCTGCCGCCCATAACGGTACTCTTTTGACCAACTACCTTGCTGTCACTCATCCCAGTCAGCCCAACTACATCGCCATGATTGGTGGTGCCACTCTTGGTTTCTCCAGCGACAGCGATGGTACCACTAGCGTAAGTGTATACAACATGATGACCCAATTGTGTTTATGAACCAATACTAAGTCATTACCCATCAGTCCAGCAGCATTGTTGATCTTTTGGAACCCGCTGGTATCACCTGGAAGGAGTATGCCGAAAACTACACTCCTCTCAGCGGAGGTGGTTGCGACACTAGCTCTTCCCAAGCCAGCGGCCTCTACCGTCGCAAGCACAACCCCTTCATCTCCTTCACCAAGGTCACCAGCAGCGCTGCCCGTTGCGCAAACATCGTCCCCGCTACTCAGCTTCAAACTGATATCTCCAGCGGTAACCTTCCCCAATTCATGTTCTACACGTGAGTTCCTGCATGACATGACCTACCAAAGACATTATGCCCGATAGCTAACCAATAGCATTATCAATTGTTTCAAACCAGCCCTAACATGAACAACGACGGTCACGATACCAGCTTGACCACTGCTGCCACCTGGCTCAAGGGATTCATCGAGCCTCTTTTGGCCAACACTGCCTTCAACAAGCGCACTGCTGTCTTGCTTACCTGGGATGAAAGTCTCAGCACCAGCGGTAACGACCAAGTCTGGTCCGTCCTTGTTGGTACCGGTGTCGTTCCCCAAGCTAAGAACGTTGACAGCACTGCCTACAACCACTATTCCATCCTTGCCACCGTTGAGAAGAACTGGGGTCTTGGCAACCTTGGCCAAAAGGATGCCACCGCTACTGCCTTCAAGTTGTAAAGAAAAATGCTTGATCAGCAGCAGCATGAGATGCTATCGAAAGATTATAAAAATTAATGATTACATTATTTATATATACATTAAAATTGAAAACATCAGTGCCTTTATATTTGCAATATTGAAATGCGTATTGAGCGTATGGGGCTTTCATACGAGAGTGCGGACAACCATGACGCATTGATCGGTGTTTGGGACGCAGTTGTAGCAGGTATTGCAGACTATCGGACGAATCAAAGTCTCTTCGCTGTGTTCGAATACGTTTAGCACTTGAGGAACAGTTTCACATTAATATGGCTTTGAGCGACTTGATCAAGGAGCAAGCCAAAAGATGCCTTGACCCAAGAATAAATTACGGCAACAGGTTGACACGTGACATCAGCAACCCCCCTCCACCACCTTCGCTTCGTGCAGCTTTCACCTGATGATTATTGATGAGACTGCCCAATTTCTAAGCCTGTCTTGCTTTATCTATAGCTTTCTATATTTTCATCGTTCCATATGCTCGCCCTTCGAGACACCCGTCTTAATGAACTTCCTCTAGCGACAAGGCTCCAACATATATGTCTAAAAATTTCCAAGTCCTCTCCTGTTCAGGGATACACTCATCCAAACAACCCTAGTTCAGATCACAAACGGAAATAAAAGAAGCGAAAGAAAAAAAAAAACGTTCCCCAACCTCTTTGACTGCAAACAAAGATAAAGGGCCAATAGATTATCGGTTACTCTAAACCTTATACTATGTCATCGATTGCGACATAACTACAGCTTATTGATACCTTGATTTCACCAATCAATTGTTGGAACGCTGAGGCAATTTGACGTTGGGATTCCATATTTTTTTTTCTTCTTTCTCTGACATACAAATAACATTTTTCGATTTCTGCAAATTCTCACCTTTTGATCCGGTCGCCAATGGATGCAGATAAACCCACTTACATCGAGGATGCAAGTCTCTCCCATCATACCCAGGACAGTATCAGCATTTCATCGGAGCGTAGCGGAGTCCAGCCAAATGCTCCCCTCAAACGACAGCTCAAATCCAGACATATCATCATGATTTCAGTGGGTGGAGTAATTGGGCAGGGTCTTTTCTTGTCCTCTGGTGGAGCATTAGCTGCTGCAGGACCAGCAGGTTTACTCATTGCCTACTCCATCGTTGGGTTCATTGTCTTTTGGGTCACTTTCGCCCTGGGTGCGTATGGCGTTGATCTGTGCATATGGATATTGGAGAGAAGCTAACCGGTGCGGTTCTTTATCAGGTGAAATGGCTGCATATATGCCTATTTCCGGCTCCTTCACTATATATTGCCGTCGGTTTGTGGATAATTCGTTCGGAGCTATGGTCGGATACAACTATGTTGCAACATGGTGCCTGATTACAGCGGCTGAATTTGTTGCTATACCTTTGGTGCTCGACTACTGGACAACAGCTGTCCCTAGCTGGGCATGGTCTCTCATATGTCTAGTGATCGTCTTCTCAATCAACTTGTATGGTATCCGAGGTTTTGGTGAGGTGGAATACGTATTGTCTTTGGTATGTAAGGTTGGAAACCAGACGTGCTCCGAAATCCGTCCTCCATGCTAACCGCCACCACATTATGTTATATAGATCAAAATCTTGGCTGTCATTGTCTATATCATCGTTGGTATCTTCATTTCCGCTGGTGTTATCGGAGGGCAAAAGTATGGCTTCACTTATTGGAATGACCCAGGTGCTTTCACTCCTAATAAGGCTCACATTCTTAATGCAATTGTTTTGGCTTCCTTGACAATGCAAGGAACAGAGATTGTTGGTGTGACGGCAGCGGAAGCCGACAATCCGGCCAAGGTAAGCAATCACGAGGATAAGTCAGAAACTTGAACCAGGATACTGATGAGGTGCTACAGAATATACCCAAGGCTATTCGTAATGTGTTTTGGAGAATAGTAGTGTTTTATCTTGGATCAGGTATAACAGATGTTTGTGCATGAAAACCATTCAGCATAGTCGCAGCACTGACCTACTGGTTTGTGCCCTAGTCTTCATTGCAGGCATGATCCTTCCCTATGATGACCCCAACCTATTGACACAAGGAGCCAAGAGCGTGTCCATCTCACCCTTCACTTTGGTGTTCAAGAAAGGTGGACTCGATGCCCTTGCTCACGTCATAAATGGGGTTATTCTGTGCACTATCCTTTCATGTGCCAACAGTGGTCTTTATGTATCCAGCCGCACTCTCCATGCTCTCGCACTAGAGGGCCTCACTCACAAACGACTAGGTAAGATATTGATCAGTCAACAAAAGGTGCTGTATGCCGATGTCTAATAAGCACATTCAGCTTATGTCAACAACAGAGGTGTACCAATCTATGCACTCTGTGCATCCGCTGCCGTCAGTCTTGTTAGTTTCCTCACCACTTTTATACCTGGAAACGCTCTGTTTCTATGCCTGTCCACGATCTCTGGTGTGGCAGGTTTCATCACATGGTACGTTTTCGAGATTGAAAAAGAGAACTTTGAGAACTCTTCGTATTTAATCTTCCCTTTTTTATGATAGGGGCTCTATTTCGCTAGCCCGGTATCGTATGCGAAAGGCGTTTATTGTTCAGGGCCGGTCGCTTAGTGACCTTCCATATGTTGCTCCAGGGTTTCCCTATTTCGACATATTCTCCATCTTTGCCTGCGGCGTTCTGGCCCTGCTTGGTGGATGGTCCTCTTTCTCACCGCCGGATCCAATTGGCTTGGTAGGCAATTACGCTGGTCTGGTGATCGCGTTCTTTGGCTTCGTCATAACTAAGTGGTGGACCAAGAGTAAGGTTGTACGACTGTGCGATATTGATCTCGACACGGGCCGCACTCAGCATGTGGCTCAAGAAATCGAGGAGGAAAAGGAAACATGGTGGAGAAAAATACTCTCCTACATCTTTTGATTGGAGCCATTCGATACTGATATGAATGCTATATATCACATAATTATATTTAGATTGACAAATTGTTGATGTTCTCCTTCAATTCGTTTGATGCTTCTGTTGTGCTTGTCTTAAGTCCGTTCACCGTGGTGCGTTCTTTCCTTCTCAGCGGAAATAGCTGGCGTGTGACGATACCTATTTCTCTGCTTCAATGAGGCGGAGTTCCCTGTACTACTTTATTTTTCGTTCACTTGTATAAAAGTTTGCTACCACCGAGAAATCTGTCTACTCACGTTATAGACACTTTCATCCACCTTAAGCACTTATGCACTTGTACAAAATCTTACTGCTGACTGACCAGCAGTTGAATCGTGGTTCTAGTTCAATCGATAATACGGAAACCATCGACCGTGAGTATGCGACACTTGCAGAAGAGGTTAAGACCAAGTACAATGCAGTTGTTGAAGAGATGTTTAAACACAAGTATTCCAACGCGACACAAAATCATGGCAAGGACGCTGAAGCGGTGACACTCGACATTGTGAAAATTGTCGATAAGAATTCAAATCCTCAACCGAGTTCTGTTTCTGGATCCCCGTCACCTTCTCACCTTATCATAGTCTTGCTAATTCTTTTGTTTGCATTTTGGTCGGTACGAATCTCGCTTCAGCAAGATCTTTCCGGTATAAAATCCAGTTTAGAGGAACTCATTATCTTGTCATTGCTCTTTCTATTCTTATCAACGATATGGTTGGTAGCGATTGGCATCGTCTGGCTAATAGTTACTGCTGCGTTGTGCTCCTAGGACGATGCTTCATGTCTAGTAGTTTTCTGTTTGTGTATACTGCTTAGTTCCAGCATGCATTTAGATAATGCGTTGTTGCATCATGCTCATGACTTTCTCTAAAGCTTGTGCACGCGGCCAAATACACTGTTGTATAATAAAATCTCGCCTAGTTTTGGTTCTAACGGACGCGGTAAGAAGAATGTCCTGTTATATGTACCATGCAATATTTGTCCTGCATGATTTTTTCTGCCATTCATTTGATGTAAAATCCTTCTTCCAACATATAAGCGATACGCTCTGTTTTCCAACAACAATCTCTGACTTCATGCGATCACGGTTAGGTACCATGGACCCTGGTCAATGCGTCCCCTTGGGACTGAAGCATTGGTTACTGCAGGTCATGGAGCATTCTACTGCAGCCTTTTTTATTACTTTGGCTTTCTGCCACTGTCGCTTTTTTTTGTTAGAAAAAACTTGCACAGAAAAATAACTGTCTGGTGCTATCGTCGTCTCTCCAGGTGATACTGTTCACTTTAAGTTTTGTATTCACTTGTGCCACCTTCCTTTTGATCCAAGAAACCCCGGGCTGAGCCACCTCCACAACCTCTTTCCATTTGGCGAGAGATTATATATTACAACTTTTCTCCAACTCCTTCTAATTTCTTCTCATCACAAACAAATGATGTTTAGGATTCTAAATGCGACAGACAAGTTGTGGACCTCACTTGACTCCTCGCGAGACCAAATCTATAAAAATGAAATTGCAATAGCCTACAGTGAACTTACCGAAGAAGATAAAAAGAAATACGACGCGCTGGTGGAAGGGGTTTTCAAAGACAAGTTTCTAAATCCAGAAAGGTTTAAATTGGAGCAAGCAAGAAGTGAATATCGATGCCCTGCTTGCCAAAATGACGCTCATGAGCAGATTGTAGTCAGCAAATCTGCTTGGGCTGAAAGCCTTGTCAGGATAGTGTTTCTGCTTTTATCGTTCTATACCGCACACACCTTTTCACAGGGGTTGATTTTACCACTTTTTGTCATACTGTACGGCTTACTGTTTATCTGTAGTCCGTTATTGTAGATACCAGTGTTCTGCAGTTACTCTTATAAAACAAAATTGATACCATTTGAGTTTCATGTTCGTGAGTGCCATTTGAATCTTTGCAGCGAGTGTTTTCTTAAAGCGTAACTTTCCAGTCGAGTTGAAGAGTACGACCATGGCATAGAGAGCGATGCCTGGCGTTCCTTCCATTCTCTCGTTTCTATATTATGACTTAGGTGGTTCAGTGCATATTCTTTACTGCCACAGAATTAGCCACAACATGGCACCAATTCAGCTCTCTTCAGAGTCAATGTTACTTATCCATCATTTTTAACAACCTCATAGTCATCAAGAAAGCTCGCATAATGAAGAGGCTCTATCGTTGCCACCAAGGTCATACCGTCCATTTTAGGTTCATGTTCATTCGTACCACCATTCTGCTTACTTGTTTTGAGCCCGGCTCAGCCGATTTCTCGACCTTCTGTTGCCGCTTGACGCGAAACCTTTTTTCAAGCTTTCGCTTTCTCACCATTACTGTTCTCAAGAGAACTCTCTAACAATGCATAAGATACTGCATTACACTGACTTACAATGGTCCAATCCAAAGCAGGATCATACAGGAACAATTGAAAGAATGTACAAGGAACTAACTGACGATGATAAGAAAAAATACGATGCGCTGGTCGAAGGTGCTTTCAAGGAAAAGTATTGGAATCCAGAAAGGTACAAAGTCGAGCAAACAAGACTAGAATCCCGACAACATGCTTGCCATGCATGTCAGAGTGACGCTCATGGGCAGACTGCTGGCAGTCAATTTAGTTTTGTCAACAGCTTTTGCAACGTATTTATTTTCATAGGATTGGTGAATATGTTGTACGAGTTCTCAAAATGGGATGTCATCCAAAAATTTGTTAGTAAATAATGTTACTACCATCCCCATAGTGGGTACTGTAATCAGCAGTAAATTACATATCACTTATAAAACCATTGGGAATTCATGCCAGTCAGTTAACGATATACCGTCGACTCTCAATATCTATAATGTTTTTTCAAATGTAACCTTCTAGTCAAGCTGGTGATTAAGCCATGACATGCAGAGTGATATCATGACTTCGTTGTAACTTTGTTTCCAATGTGAATTCGGATATAGGCGCCAATGCATCGGTTTTTCAGCCACACAGTTAGCCACAGCAAGCCAATTGGGTATTTTTCTGCAGCCTTGGTAGCGACGTTATACTTCCATCATTGTCTTATATCACGAGATCATCGCGAACTGTCTGTAATAATGCGGAGCCGCTATCGCTGCAACCAAGGTCCTACCGCTTCGCTTTTAAGTTTCGTGTTCATTCGTGCCACCTTCCTGCTTACCCATATAAGCCGGTCTCAGCCACTTTTCGTCCCTTCCACTGCCATTTGACGCTAAACCTTTTGAGTTTTCACTCTTTCACCAGTACTATTCTCAAAAGATCCGTCTACCAATGTACAAGATACTGCTTCATACTGACTTGCAGTGGTCCGCACCAAACGGGACCGGGAATCAAATAGGACAAATTGAAAGGTCGTACAAGGAACTATCTGACGATGATAAGAAAAAATACGATGCGCTGGTCGAAGCTGCTTTCAAAGAAAAATATCTGAATCCAAAAAGTACAAAGTCGAGCAAGCAGGACTAGGATCCCAACAACATGCTTGCCATGCATGTCAGAGTGATGCTCATGGGCTGGCAGCCAATTAAGTTTTGCCAACAGCATTCCAACTTATTTACTTTCACACTAGTCGCGAATATCATGTACAGGCTCTCAAAATAGAATGTCTTCTACGAATTTTTAGGAATCAATGTTCTACCATCCCCATAGAGGGGTATTGTAATCAGCAGTAAATTATATATCACTTATAAAGTCATTTGGAGCTCATGCCCGTCCGCAACAATATACTATCGACTCTCAATATCTGTAATTTCTTCCAAATATAACCCTCCAGTCGAGCTGATGATGAAGCCATGACATGTAGAGTGATATCACGGCTTCGTTGTAGCCTTGTTTCCAATATGAATTCGGATATTGGCGCCAATGCATCGGTTTTTCAGCCACACAGTTAGCCACAGCAAGCCAATTGGGTATTCTTCTGCAGCCTTGGTATCGACGCTACCCTCCATCACTATCTTATATCACGGGATCATCGCGAACTGTCTGTAATAATGCGGAGCCGCTATCGCTGCCACCAAGGTCCTACCGCTTCGCTTTTAAGTTTCGTGCTCATTTGTGGCACCTTCCTACTTGCTCATTCAACCCCGGCTGAGCCATTTTCCAAGCCTTTTTGCCCCTTGGCGCCACACTTTCTGCTGCCGTTCCTTTTCTTTATCCTTCAAGAATAAATCACTAACTCATGTACAAGGCACTACATTGGACTGGAAAGCAGTTGGACGCGCCAAATATGGGGTACGTCCCCAACATCGAAGCCGCATATAACGAACTCTCGGATGATGATAAGAAAAAATTCGATGCACTCTACGAAGAGCTTTTCAGAGCTAGATTTATGAATCCTGAAAGGCTCAAAGCCGAGCAATGTGGTCAGAATGGTGCTAAAGGCACGGCCACTATCCGTCGCCACACCGCGGAATTCCATTGGAGTGAGAACATTATCAAAATAACATTCATTGTATTAGCATTTTATTCAGCGCACACCATTGCAAAAGGAGATGGTATATACTTTCTGTTTACTCTTTATTTTTTGCTATACACGTTTGGCAAGGTATTTGAGTAGATTAACACTAATGTACAAAGGGGGTTTAAATAAAAGATTTCATTTGGAGTTCATGCCAGTCAACCACAGGATGCCATTGACTCCTTTCATCATATATTTTCCAAAGGTAAACTTCCATCCGATCTGATGATTACGCCACGACATGATGAGTGATTCCTTGACTTCTTTCGATCCTCGTTTCCACATTATGTCTTCGTATTTCGCTATCGCCGCTGGCCAATCCGCATCATCTGTGGTTAAAGCCTTTGCGAGATCGATAGAATCTTTCAATGATGTGTTTGCGCCCATGCCCTTGTTGGTAGTCATAGCTAAGAACCAAAAGACACCATTGAGTACGACTGGTGCATCATCTTTCAACACCTTCCGTTAACTTACCATGTGCTGCATCACCTAATAGCGTCAATCGCTTGTGGGCAACCTTAGACAGCGGGTTCTCGGCTTGATAATTGGTGGTGCGAGTCTTGTAAAAGCCATCAAATATGACATTACTCTCTTCGACTCGTTCGGCAATTAAAAGCACTTCTGGATGAAAGTCTTTTCTCACGATCTCCTTTACGAATTGAAGACTTTCTGCCTTTCCCTCGGGAAGAGGTTCTGTAATGATGTTTTCTGGGAAAGAGATCCCAAAGAACAAATCTGGCTTTCCGCTGGGAGGATGACAGAGGCCGATCAGAACACTGTAACCTGATGGAGACGAGGTGCGGATCATGGAATACTTGAGGAACTTGTTCAGCGTGGGCATTTCCTCGGGCGAGAAGCCCTTCATAAGTGCTCCAAACGAAATGATCCCGGTGGGTTCGTATTTGATGGAAGGAGTGAACTGGGCGCGCACTTTGGACCAACATCCATCGGCACCGACCATGAAATCAGCGTCCACAGTTGATCCGTCTTCAAAGAATATTTTGATCTTGTCATCGGTCTCTTCGTATTTTATGAATTTTTTGTGATAGACAATATTCACGCCCTCCACCAGTCCATTCCTCAAATCCGTACGATCAATAATACCGGTGGCGAGTTTGCTTGGTTTCTCACCCGGCTTCACCGGCCCACCGATTCGGAGCATCTCTGACAGATGTTCATCTAGGACTGTGAATCCAGTGACGGTGTTGCGGGCAAAGATCTCGTCAATGCCACCAATCTTGGCTTCCTTGAGAGATTCAAGTCCCCATGTGTTGATGCCAATATGAAAGCCCTGGGGTCGAGAACTTGGTGACTCGCTTCTTTCATAGACGGTGACTTGCAGCGAGGACTTGTACACTTTGATGGCTTGAGCCAGGTTCAGACCACCAATACCGCCTCCAATGATGGCAATAGTTTGTAAAGGCTGGACCATATGACAGTATTAGAAAAGGATAAATCAAACTTCTTTGATCTGCCAAAGCTTACATCTATCCGAATTTTATAATTTCCCATTTTCGGTAAGAAAAATTGCACCCTTGCGAAAATTTTTGACTCAAAACTGTCGAAAGCGTATTCCGAGCTTGGCAAGCCCGCCAAGACCATCAGAAGCCGAACTTCCTTTGACTCATCTTGTGAAAAAAACTCAATTGGCGCGTTACAGCTAGGATAACATTCTGGAAGACTCTGGTTGCTGTTAGGGTAATTTTGTACGTGAACACAATAAGATATATTGGTGGTATTTGGACCTTGAGCGCGAAACCATGGTTGCGACAAATGGGAAATCCAGTGTTGAAAGGAGGTAACTGTAGTATAATCACATATTTGATGAAGAATGTTAACTTCCATGAACCATTATCACTTTCTTTAAAGATTAAAGTATGCAGGTTAATGATATATGGTGTCATCAAGCTCATGAGTGAAAAATTTCAGGGCAGCTGTACCTGGGATTCCTGAGGTCAGGCCATAAGTAAAATTGTGTGTTGGGCGTGAGCCCACACCTACAACCTGGTATTTGCCCTCACAGCACATCAGTCCCCACCCAAATGCTTCAGTCATTGTCTTTGTGTTAAGAAGGTCATGCATTCACCATTGAACATTGTCGGCATTGCGCGGCTAGTGGCTAATGATCCTTTCCAATGGCGTTAGCTATGCCACCGCTTTACACCGCATTTATATTCCAAGGCTTGCTTTGGCTTATCATAATAAATTGAAAAATATCAAAAGTCGAGAGAAGCAAAATTTAGGGTACCCAGCTCCCACCGAAACAGCGCGCCGGTAATACCTTGCCGACGACTTCCATGAAAAGAAATGCAAGATGAAAAAGTCACACCAAATACCCGCATATGTTCATGCAGCTACTTTGAAGATCGTCAAACAAGGTTTGTATCTCTTCAAATTAAAGGCCACTTGCTGCGGCATCGTCAAATTTGATGTATCACCGAAAATCTGGACCATGGAGTGATGAGTGTTTTGCGTCTAGTAGCCCTTCCATAAATTTTCAATTGCGTGTCTAGAAACCAACTCATAAAAAAAAAAGTGGCCTCATTAACCGGTGTGACAGCGGCGACCAGTTTTTAGATACACCTTCCGAATTAGATAATTCAAATCATTCGCTCACATATTAAGCAGTGATGAAGATTAGCTCTCGTTGAGACGTCCATTTACGATGCAAGCGTTAGGAGTGCCTTCTTGTGGATGGAAGAAGGTTTTCCCAAAAGTATCTGGGTAGTATTGGAAAATGAATCACCCGGCAGCATTTTTCTGGAAAATCCATGTTGTCATTGAGATAAAGGAGAACAGTTCAATTAAGGCAAGACGCTCATCTTAATCTGCCTTTTGATGAGACCCCGCCACCGACGCAACGGCCAGTTTGGCTCATCTCTTCATTATGACAATAGTGTACCTTACAAAGTTTAAAATGCTTGACATTAATTAAGCAAAGCAATCCACTCAAATTAGAAATAGACAAACGTGCCATGGTAGAAGAGTCTCTTCTGAGATGTGTATTTCGCGCCGTTGTGGTCAGTTCCCTTACGGAGGCGAAGTTGCCTTGCGCGGTGCAAAACAGTGTGCACTGGCCATACTTGACGTAAATTGAAGGGGAGCGTTTACTCCGTCCCTCCGGACTTGACGGCTACTTTTTAGACAACTGGCTCAGCAAATGAGTGTGGCACCTGGAAGCATCTAATCTTTAGGATATCTCATGACGGTGGTCTGTTAGATGAAATCAGTTCATGTGACGCTACCTCCTGGCAATCTGAAAACATACCATATTTGACTCGTGGTGTATCGATGGCAAGACTTGAGCCATTCAATGGAGGGTTGTTCCAACCGTCAATATCAAACTTTTGATGTTCAGGCACTCTCTCTCAACGCGAGCGATCGCCCACGTGGCACTCCGAATGATGGAACAAGTGGCCGGATCACCCAGCGAAAGACTGACTGCGGTCAAGTTACCGCAGCCAAGCCTTTACTATTCGCCAAGTTTGCCAACCCTTGGCGTTACACACAGCCTTCTCGAAGCAGTCATTTGCAACAATCATCATAACATGCTTCACTGTTATTACTTCAGCTGCGGCACATGCATTGGCTCGCCCCCCGCCTTTTTTTTTTTTTTTATATAAAATAATATCGTCACTTGAGAAAGATATTTCCCCTCAATCTCTCTTTTCTTACTTCTTTACATTGTAAATGAATTCTCCTGTCAAGCTCTCTATAGACTTGCTTCCAGAATTTGGATGGCGCATCAATGGAGAACCTGTTTATTCACCAGGCTCCATATTCGAAGGTATTTATACCATTCTATTTTGAAAGTGTCATTGCGCCTTAGCCGATCTGTACTAACCAGATAATTTTTTTTTTTTTTTTCAATCCGCCAACTTAGGCAGCGTCAAAGTCGATACTACAACAAACATCCCACAAGCAACGATAAAAATATTATTTGTTGGTACGGAAAAACTAAGACCTGACGTTGCTGCAATATCAGGCGTTATGCTTGAACAACGTCCAATTTTTGCCGTTCGCTCCATTCTGTTCGGAAAAGAAGGACCGCAAGATATTCCAACGGGTGAACAGCAATATCATTTTGCTATTCAACTACCCATGGTCAATTACCCACCCACCTTTGTACATTCAATGTGCAGCTGCTCCTTCCGCTTGATCGCTGTGTTGGAGTCGGATAGCACGAAAAGAATGTACAGCGAGCAGTCCATTCGATACATCCCATACATCGAAACGAGCCCATTGAAGGACACTTACACTTTGACGGCTCATGGTAGCTCTATATCCGTACCAAGTCTTTCATACCTTCAATCTGACACCATTCCCATACACTATGAAAGCAAAAACAGCCCTGTTACATCGGTTACTGTCAAGTTACGGCGGAGACTGTCGTATGGCGATGACGGCGTTGAAGATCACCTAGATGAAACGTTGGCTAGCGAGGAAATCAAGTTGACGAACACAAATACGTTGAATGGCACTGTATATTTCAACCTGCCAGAATCCATCGTACCTACTATAGATTACAGTAGCTGGATGTCTATGACTTACAGCCTGGAAGTCCACATCCGGCGACAAAAGTTGATTGGCACCGCAGCTCATTTCATGGTTCCCCTCACCATCGGTACCATGGGACCTGGTATCCGCACGCCATCTGATCTTAAGCCATACAACCAATCCAAAGAAGATGAGGCTGGCCGCCGCGTGGTGCCTTGCTTCGTACAGCGCATAGAGTACGAAGACTGTTTGCCTGAATACGCCAGCTACAAGTTACCTAATTATCAAAATTCCTCCAGCTGTGAGTGGGCCGAGCCTTCTACAGCATGATACCATTGGCACTACCGTCATCCTAAGAGTTCTCAACAGCATTTTTTTTTTTTTTTCACATTCCAAAAAATCAGTCATTTTCTTGCATACACCCCGTCCTCACTTCATCTCATCCCCAAAATAAATACATACAGTATCTAAAGATAACTCTCATGCTGCAGTTTTCAAATATTTATGTAAGCCTATGAGTACACACACGCAGAAGGAGTAACCATGAGGCGCGCATCATGCATGTGGTACCATTGACTTTGCCACTCGTTTTCATTATGTCGACTTGCCATCTTTCACGCGAAAGGAGCGTCCACTACCTGGTGACATAGGCAACCAATGGATTTTCTCACCCAACAGTGGCCCAGCAATTTTTGGTAGCCCTCCAACCCCAATCTTGCAGATTTTTTTTTTGTACTCATGCACAGGCCTTTGTTTTTATTGTGTACACTCGCCAACGAAAATTACAGGGAGCCAAGGAAAAAGAAAAAAAAAAGGCCATCGTAGGGCAGATGTATTTAATATTTTTGGAATGTAGTGATATAGAAAAGCGAATAGTTTAGTTTTCCTCGCCAATCTTAGGAGCCTGTGTACAGTGTGGTCAGTAAAAAGCGGTGGGTGGTCTCCAAGCAACCCATCATGTGACTTACGAGATAGTATCTAACATAACCAAGGTTGTCCAACTTGTATTCAACGAGCAAAGGAACATCATTAGACATGCTCAACGTGACGCGCGTTGAAAGAGGGGTAGCCTTAGTAAAGTTGGCAAGGTATTTAAGAGAGAAAGTCAGGGAGACACTCTGTTGGAGCTCAATTCTGGTAGCCTCGTCCTCCTGAAGCAAAGTAATACACATGAGTCTTTATCCTGAACGACCATGACCATCACCGTGGTTACTTACATTGTCAACGTTGGCGTTCTGCTTGAGAGTAATGCTACCGTTACCGACTTCACCCTCACCAGAGAACTTGATACCGTCCTTAGTAGCATCGATCTTGACGGACTCACTGATTTGTGACAAGTCTCGGCAGATACGTTGGAACTCTGCTGAAGACATGTGAACAATAGCATCGTAGCTGGTATCGGGAATACCCAAATGTTCGCTATCGATATCCATAAGCTTCAAGTCATACTCGCAAATCTTGTCATTATCTGGTGACGAAGAGGGTTAAGAAACACGATGACCGCAGTGAAACAGGCAAGCCACGCCTACATACCTTTGCTTTCGAAAACCAAGCTGAGGGTATCACCGCCATCATCAGCCTTCAAGGTCAAGATATCATCGTTACCAGCGCACTTGAGAATCTTGTTCAAGTTGGTCAAGTTGAGACCAAGAGGCAAGTTTCTGTCGCAACGGTAGGGATCGAACCCATCTGAGCGCAATAACAATGCAACCAAAGCAACGTGTGAGTTATCCATGGCTTGCAACGCTATACCCGAGTCGTTGCAGTCAAAGTTGCATTCTGTGACCAGTTCCTTGATGGCTTCGAGAAGGGATTTCAAGAGCTTTGCTTGTTGCAGACGAGCTTCCAGCATAGTGTCTGAGGTAGAGGATTAGTGAATGCAGTGTGATGAGGTTGGGCGGAGGGAACTTACCTAATGTTGTTGTTGTTGTGAGATGGGAGTAAGGGAAAAAAAAAAAATCAGACGCGTTGGGCAACGCGTCCATTATCACCAAATTTTGTCAGTCATGAATGCGTGATGTCACTCAAATCCACTGACCTCGCGGCATTTGAAATCCCTCTCTTCCAAAAAGTCTCAAAGTAATAAAGTGATTACGGCTTCAGTTCAATTACACCAGGCATTCCACTCGTCAAGTCCCAACATCATCCCCGTTTGACCATTGGGAATATCGTCATGCTGGAGGAAGACACCTTGGCCAACTCTTTCTACTTTGACTCCGCTCCTCCCAAAACACTGCTAACTCCGTCCAACGCAATGTCAGCATCCATGTACAACTCTCACTTCGAGGACGACGATGACCCATGGGGAAGTGCCATTGCAACTGATCCTGTGGTTGATATGGCACGAAGCCTGAGTAGGCAAGCTGCTATCAATCGAACAAACCCTAGTCCTGGATTTACCGACGTTGATGATATCATGGCCACCGACACGACTGCCTCGAGTGCTTTATGTAAGTAGCATTAATGTGGATACGTGTACGTTCATGCAATACAATGCGCTCTCAAATACTAATCCCAAATCCCATGATTTTTTGACTATAGCTGGCGTTAAGCTACCTCCTATCTATGAAACCGCCTTTGCACACGCTGGTCCATCCGATGGTAAAGTGTCACTGCAGGCATTGAACCGTGTTCTATCGCTTGGTGGTACTCATCCCTACATGATTGAAAAGGTGGGTATTTGACATGCTGGGCCCACATTGTTTAATGTCATGCAGCTGACTTTCTTCCTTCAGATCACCAGCCTAGTAGTACCTGGCCATGCCTCCTATGTCACAAAATCTGAATTTAATGCAGCTCTTGCATTACTTGCACTGTCTCAGAAGAACGTTGGTAAGTGTAGCATTGTTGTATATTTTTTATTTGGTCAGACTATCGCTTACATTTCTACCATTAGATGTGTCCGTCCTTAGTTTGTCTCGACACAGACATGGTATGCATGACGGGATGGGATGAGGGGTGATGGTTGGAAACGAGCATTAACGATATGGCGTTTCTCTCAAAATAGATCTACCGCTTCCCGTACTCATAGGGGTTGAAGATCTGGAGATTAAGCAGTCGCCGTTTAATTCGAGGACTCCTCAATCTCCACAACCTGCAGCCGATGATGACGACCCTTGGAAAACGTTAGTAGCGGTCGAAGCCCATTCAAATGGTAGCTATGCTCAGGCGGTAGTAGCCGCGGCAACAGTTCCAGCAGCAGCAGCAGCACCTAAGCCTGTCGAAAAACCAGTCGAACCCTACACTAAACCAGTTGTCAAAGAAACAACACCTGTCGTCGATACCAAACCTCAACCTCCACCTCAGCCTAAACCGCAGCTTACAAAACCAATTTCTGAATCGCCCGTTAAAGAGACGCCAGTATCCCCTATTGCAGCTCCTGTTGCGTCTCCGAGAACTATATCCAGTCATCCACCACCCTCTCCATCCAACAACAAGACAGCACCATCCACCATTGCACAACGTGCATTGACACCTGAGCGACCTAGGGTCAGAGGGTCCACTGATAACTATCAGTGGTTTTTGGACAGAGACCTTATCAAAGTCAATGTTGCGCCTGAGAAGGAAGGGTTTTTATTCAAACATATCAACTATGTTGTGGAAAGTCAGCAACGATCGTCCGTGGTATTGAGACGATACAGTGACTTTTACTGGCTATTGGAAACGCTTGTCAAGCGGTATCCCTTCCGCATTCTTCCCAACCTGCCACCCAAGAAGCTCGGTGGTATGGATGCTGTGTTCTTGGACAAGCGACGCAAAGGGTTGACTCGGTTTGTCAATTTTTTAGTATGTCATCCTGTGCTTGGCAAAGACGAAGTGGTCAATAAGTTCTTATCGGAGCCGTCCGAGTTACTGGCTTGGCGACGACAACATCCCCCTTCGATTGAGGAAGAATTTGTGAGACTCAACCCGGATGTCAAGGAAATGCAAATGGAAGTACCGGCTGACTTGGATGAACGACTTGCCAAGGTTGGCAACAACCTTACTGTTTCCATAGAGCATTACAAGAACATGTGTTTTACGGTTGAACGAATGATTAAGCGAACTGAAGCTCAAGTGGTGGATTATGTTCGATATGGCTCATCCATAAGGTATGTGTGAGGAAAGAGGACGGGGGTCACATTGAATCGTCTCACTGACTGGACTATTTCTTTAGATCCTTGGTCGAGATCACGCAAGCATGCTATCAGCCAGATTGCGAACAATGTTCTCAAGTTGCTCAAGGATGCGAAGCGGTTTCCGCTCATGTTATGAAAGCCAGTACGATTTTGGAAGACAAGGCAAGTGGCGGGATAGTTTAGAAAATATTCTCTCGCTGGATAATAACCTATTGTCCCACGTTTAGTCTGTTGCAGCTACCAACGGAATTCTAGAAAACTTGAAGCGTCATCGTGACCTTTTAGTATCATTCAAGGTAGGTTCTGAAGAGGTGTTTCTGCGGTGGGATGGGATGAATACTCACGGGTGGTGCGATTGTAGGAGCTGCTGGATCGAAAGGAGAGGTTGGCCGTCAACCAGATTGACGCTCTGAACAAGCGGATAAGCACAAACCAGACCAAGGTAAATCAACATAGAGGTGTGCCTGGTCTAGAGAATGAAGTCGAGCGGCTTGACCAATCGCTGAAATCGGTAAGTCAATGGTTCAGTTTTTCATCCAAGGCCACAGTGTTCAAAGGTGCTTATGATGGGTGTGTCTTACCACAGGATCGCACCGAACTCGAACTACAAACCCGCCGCCAGATATACATTCAATACTGCATGTACAAGGAGCTAAAGTATCTCCACAAACAACAAGGATTCGTGTCGGTCATGTACCAAAGCTTTGTGAATGACCAAGTCAAATTCTCACAACTTAGCTTGAGCAATTGGAAGAACCTTGAAGATCCCGTGTACCAGATGCCGGCCGAACTGCAATGATCCCCCCACCCACCCCTGGTTTAAGTAAACATGCCGCCAGCTATATACCTTCTAAGTCAATGAACCGCCAAAGTAATATCCCCTCTATGATTTTGATTTGGCTTTATATATTGTAAGAGAACAGAGAAAAAAAAAACAAGATTCGTTTGCCCTTTATAAGTTTTTTGCTTGCTATGGCGTCAATCTATTTTCACGATTGCAGCAGTTTAGGAGGGGGTAGATTTTTCTTCAAGGAAGGGTGGTTTGGTTTGGGATTTTACATGAAAGACTTGACATGAGAATCGCAGACCTCACGGAGCTTGGTCTCGAGTTCCTTGGAAAGGACACCCTTGGAGCGGATCTCCTCAAGGACATCGCTGTGGTTGGCCTTGACGTATTGGATGAAATCCTTTTCCCAGTCGACGATCTTGTTGACGGGGAGCTTGTCAAGGAAACCGTTGACACCAGCGAAGACAATAGGGACTTGAGTCTCAATGGAAAGAGGAGTGTACTGGGGTTGCTTGAGAAGTTCGGTAAGACGAGCACCACGGTTCAACAAGAACTGGGTGGAGGCATCCAAATCGGAACCGAATTGAGCGAAAGCAGCGACTTCACGGTATTGGGCAAGGAAAAGCTTGAGGGAACCAGCAACCTGCTTCATGGCCTTGGTCTGGGCAGCGGAACCGACACGGGAGACGGAAAGACCGACGTTAATGGCGGGACGGATACCCTTGAAGAAAAGTTCAGCTTCCAAGAAAATCTGACCGTCAGTGATGGAAATGACGTTAGTGGGAATGTAAGCAGAGACATCACCACCCTGGGTCTCAATGATGGGAAGGGCAGTCATGGAACCGTAACCGAA